ACGTCTCTTCCATTAAAGATTATTGTAAGCAAAATCACTGGGGCCGTGTTGAGACTTTTGCATGTTATCTGAAACACAAAAATCCATAAACAATGGAATCTGCACGTAAAAGTTACAGCGTTTCATTATGATGTGCAGTAAAATGCAGAGAGTCCTCGCAATATGCATTCCTGCCTAGCACCTGGACCCCGTGAATATACAAAAAGAAAGGCACCTACACGGGTAGAGAAAAACGCAGTTTAACAACATGTTTTCACAGTTTTTCGCAGGTTGATCATTTCAGTGAAAGGGAGCCATTCCGGTGGTTTCATGGTGGTGTTCACGCAGCTGGATATGCTGTTGGTTTTGTGGTGGGCGAAAACACAGGTGCAGGTGAAGCCAGAGGAAATGCTTTGCAGCCTGTAAACAAACACACCTCCTGTAATTTCTGCTCTTGAGATTTTTTTTTCCCCCCTCCCTGCCCGGGTTGGTAAGGCTGGATGTTACCATTGGCTTCTGGACAGCTTCTGATGTATAATCTGTTTTTTTATAATGTCCCAGCTTGTCAAAGAGTATCTGTTTTTTTTTTGTTTTTGTTTTTTTCCTCCCAAACCGTCTGTCTGTTATCACGTCTATCTTCGGGTTGATTCATAATGACTCGATGACATCAGCTTTTTGTTTGCGTGGCTGTAAAATAATCAGCAGTACTGTCTTGATCACTTTGCTATGTCAACATCACCGTCCTTGTTCTGGCTTGCTTGTCATGAGGAGAAACATTCCTGATCCATGCCTGCGTGCATTTCAGCGTTTTCAAGTGCAATTAAGTAAAAGCAGAGAGGGTGGATGGTTGCTGAGGAAAGTGTTGGGTGTTTGTACGGTGGAACTGACTCACAGAGGTAGTTTCAGTCTGGATTCCGACACATAAATCTCCTCATTTCCTCTGTGTATGAATCACAACTGATGGGATAATACTGACCACATGAGTCACTTATCCAGCACACGCTTCCCCTGACAATAGGGCTGAGAGGAAATCCATTCTTAGCATATTTTCTAATTCCAGTGGTCTTTGACAAAAACCAGTCCCACCAGCTGGTATAAGGTCCAGTATTTAGAGATGTGTAACACTATATAGCGGGAACTTACTTTAAAGGCAAGCCTTTTTCAGTTCTGGAGAAGTTTTAACGTCACACAAATATTATTATGCTTTCTTGTGTAAGTCCTAAATGTGCATAAAGATGACTAAAATTAAAGTCATCTTTATGCATATCACTTTAGCAGAACTTTAACCCATTTCTGTCAACAGCAACTCCAATCCTGGGATGTTGGTGAGGTTTCTCACATGAGCAACTCATTTCTTCCACAAAATTCCAACTGGATTATGGTCAGGACTTTAACTTGGCCATTCCAAGATATTCACTTATTTTCTTCTTTAGCCTCGTGTCCATATATGTATATATATATACGTGTGTGTATATATTTATATATATGAACAAAACCTTTTGATATACTTCCATAAATATGCTTTTAAAGCAGAATGTGTTGTCTGATCCCTGAACTTTGAATTAAACTGAGCTCCCTCTCACCCTTGACTCTCATCTCACTGACCAAAAACACCACTACCTTTACTTTTAGGTTTACAGACAACCTGTGTTATTGGAAGAGCTTTTTTGTCGTTGCTTAAGTTGACAAAAAATTGTCAATTTCTATGTTCTTTTATGTACTTATTGCATTATATGTCATTCTTTTAGAATTAAAAGAATGTAAAAAAAAAAAAAAAGTACAGTCTTTTAATATAAATATTGTCAATTTGAACCAATTGTAAAACATTATACCAGTATCATTAGTCTAAATCAGTGTGTTTAAAGGTTAGTAGGTCTTAAAGTGACTGGTGTTAGATCATATATTTGAATTTGCTGCACATTTCACCCCCTCTTGATGCATACAGGACCAGTAGGTGCTGGTTGCTGTGTGACACCCATAGCGGGGCATCTGTTTCAGGGTGCTGTCGAAGAGGGGCATTGTGGCTCCCAGTGAGAGGAGAGGAAGGTGGGGGAGGTTATTGTCCCCGAGCCTGCGGGAGCTGCCACGCACTCCGGAGCCAATAGTAACACAAGAATGCTGTCAGGACAAAGGCCATAACTCCATTCTATAGCAACACAAGTGAGGCATTGTGTTCATACAGGCACACACACATGAACACATTTGGGGTTACTATAATAACACACACACATAACCATACTGGAGCAAACTATGCATCTGTGCAAGCATGCCAAATACTCATTCATCAACTAGGTTCCCACACCGTCCAACCCCCTGCAGGACATCTCCATCACAGGCTGAGAATGGCCAGTCCGTCCCGGGACAATGAATAAAGGAGCAAGAGAAGAGGTCTGTGGTTGAGCTGCTGCAGCGCATGTGTTTGTGGCATCCTGTTGCGTCTAGGCTTCAAGGCCAGTTCCCACAAACACCACCTTCGGCCTAATCTAAAGGCATACCCCGGGCAGCAACGGAAAAAAGTATTTTGGAATTTTACATGTGATAATTGTGGGTTATCTCTTTGGTGGAAATGCTAATAAATAATGATGTGTGTTCCCATCCAGTTGTCAAGTGTTCCAGTAGGAACAAGAGTCAAAAGGTGTCGGGGTTGTTTCCTCTAAACTGAACAATGAATGAACTGGTCTGTGTCGTATCCAACTGATTTTAAAAGCTTGATGAAGAACAGACAAAACGTGTTGCTTTACCCAGATATCATAGACAAGGGATACATTTTCCCTTTCTTTAAACTGGGTGTATAATAAGGGATGCTATGATCACTCCTGGGTGCCAGCAGGTACTGGCAAATTTCATTCTCCATCAGTAGAGCCAGCTAATACGTTGCATGAGTGGCCATGCGAGTAACCAGTGGGACAATGGAAATAAGTTTAGTTTAAAAAAAATATTTTTTCCCCTTTAACTATCCAACTAGTTCATCTAATCAGTTGTTTCAATTTAAATTTCAATTAGAGTAAAGGGTTGTACCACTGAGTGCTACTTGATTCACCTTTTTACTGCTACTTTAGGCAACCTGCTTTTTTTTTTATTACATAACTCTTGAACATTCTTCAACCTTCTCTTTAATTTCATTAGAAAAGATAGAAAAATTAAGAGGCTCGGTTGTATGTAAGTTCCAGAGTAATGTAGAAATATTGTAATCTATTAGAGGACTTGAAGATTGTCACAGAAATGTAGTTGGGTAACCATCCTTTTCCACAATTCTGCTTCTCAGATGTACTCATTCACCCTTACTCTTTTGGTCTGGAAACGCCTCAGAGAAACCATGAGAAGCTGCGACACCCCCCCCGCCCTGTGCCCCATATCTGTAAATGAGCTGAAAATGAGGAAAAGTGGGCACAAGAGGCCTCGGCATTGTGAAAACATCCACTCCTGCTCACCTCTCGTCTGTCGGGCCGGGCCAGCAGACAGGTGGGCGACCTTTGACCTGGCATGCGGCAGAGCGTTGCTCGGTGTGCCAAGAATGTGTCCACACCTTTTGACCAACCACGTCACCGCAAGTGGAGCATATGCGGTTGCCCGGGCTTCACTGTTATGGTCTACATTTTGTGGCGCTGTGCGAATGTATGGGTTAGCATTGTGGGAGCGCGAGTGATGGATGACCTAATCTGAGGGGACGCTGAGAGAGAAGCAGGAGGGTTCGCGTGTGTGAGAAAGAGTGTACCATGATAAGGATATTTTTGTCTAATTTACGTGAAGTATCTCAAGGTCTGTTCAGTTATATCTACTGTTGTTGAGCTGGTGTTCGCGGAAGTGTGTCTGGGGTCAACTCTGCTGAGCCACAAGCATTTAGTGACGCAGCTCACTGGCTGAGACAGATCTTGTTGATGTAGTTTGGGGCTTTATTTCCTTAGATTTTTGTGTGGTAAGCGCGATCTTACTGACTTAATCATCATTACAAGTTTGCTAAAGAAAGAGCTGCTGAACTAAACAGAACAGAACAATAGCAGCGGTTAGTTCTTGATTATCATGAAGTTTTGATGAAAAAACAACGGCAAATGGAAAACATTATGCGGAAACTGTCTATTTAAGATATTTTAAAGTCTCAAAGTTTGGGAAATCTTCAGCCTAACAGCTATCAACTGACAAGACCACTGCTAGGAATCAAATGCTACTGGGATGAAAACTTTTATCCCATCATAACATTTCCAGCCTATTGTAAGTGAATCATATGGTAATAAGGTAGAATTCACAAAGTTAAATCTGCAGCAAATGTGTGAAATTTAAAATCTAATGTCTATTTTAAATTGACAGATGTCTTTATCTTAGCTTTTACATTAGCGATCGGAAAGTTCCCACTGTGAGCTGTCCTCACTCCTTGCAGGTGACAATTTGACCTGAGAAAAATCGTAAACTTTCACCCAGAGTAACAACCCGTTTAAAAGCTAAATCACTGATTTCTCTGACACAAAGTTACAGCCCAGAAGCTGAGCAGCAGTCCACAGCAGATAATTAAGAGCCTCAGAGAGCAAAGATGGCTTGTTTGTTCAGGGGCACAACCAAGGACATACTTTAGCTTTTTTTTCTTTTCTTTAACATTCCTAGTTCACAAATTCATCCATCAGGATCAGAGCGTCTGTGCCAAGTTCTTTTTAATACCCCGAGGCTTCTGGGGTAGAACATTCCTTCACTACGACTCTTAATTTTGGTGCATGAAAACTCTGAGCAAGTGTCATTCAGATTACAGTGGCATATGGTTTTTACCCAGCCCATATTAAAATTACAGGCCGATAAAGGCCAAGTGGATGTTCAGGGACGGTTTTTTAACCTTACAGCTATAGTGAAACAACTAAATCAACCACAATTACAATCAATTTATTTTGTGATGCTCAAATTTGTGTTTTGAGTTCAAGTTTGTTCGACGTGATCTTTTATGCACACAGAGAAAGATTCATTAATTAATTTCTCAGAAGAATAATAAGTGTGATAACAATGCTGGTCCAAAAAACTGTTAAAAAATAAAAAAAACAGGGCCAAAGCTTGTCAGAAGCCTGATTTTCCTTTAATATTTCCATGAACAAAAAACACACTAAAACACAGAGAAAGAGAAGCAATAATATTTATAGATATATATACAAATAATACTGTACATGAATACAAAGGAAGGAATATCAAGACTTTGTCTCAGCTGAGCAGTAGAGTGTAAATATGAGATGAATCAATAGACAGGATGCTGCATTATAAACATCGGATCTGTTGGGATCCACAAAGCCCAAGAGCTCGACTTTATCGGGTCCGTGCTCCTTGTGCTCATCACGCTCGTTTTCAGCCACTCTCTGGAACTCGCACGCACACAGAAAAACACACACAGTCAGACGAATACATTCACGTTGGGGATATAACCCATTCGCTCCGATTTCAACACAGGCACACCTGGACTGGCTAAGGTTTAACCACTTGTAGTGGCTTGTATGGCTTCTTTAGCGTGGCCCTCCGTGCTTTGCATATTGTGTCTGCGGCGCGCTCAGATGCTGCTGCCGTGTCCTTTTTTGGAGAGAGCGGACGTGGCACGTCGGCAGTCTGCGCCAGGGGGCGCGTGTGCCTGGAAGTGTCTTTTTAATCCTCCGTTCTTTGTGCTTCCTTTTTTTTTTTTTCTCAGTCCATCTTAGGCTAAAGTGCTGTCGAGGAGGAGAAGCAGTGTTCTGTGTGTGTCGTAGTGCACGCGGAGGGTTCAGGGCTCCAGTCGGTTTGGAGACCGCTCGGGAATATTCTTTTTGAGCTGCGGCAGTCAGTTAAAAACAAAAAATGTTGTTGTTTTTTTTTTGCTTGAATCCTACATACCAATGTAAGAGTGAGAGTTTGCTCCGGCACAAGACTAATTTGTCCTTATAAAATTTACATCCTGTGTGCTTTTAGCTTGTGCAGTCCACCACCAGTTTTAAAAAAAAAAGAAGTTTTTTTATGCTCAATGGACAACTGCAGAAAAATGGAGGATTTCAATTATCTCAGTTCGGTCCCCCAAAATCTGCTGCTACACATAAAAAAACAAAAAAACAAATCCAAATCAGGAGGACAGGACAAAGAAGATCGCCGGTTTAGTCCAGTCAGAATTAGTCCGGTCCATCGTCGTCCCTCCCGTTTTTGTCCATCTACCAGTTGCAGTCTTTCCTGAGCAGTGTGAGCACTTTGCGGCCCAAGCTGGCTTTCCACGGTTTGACGAAGCTCTTCATGTTGACCAGCAGGCGGCCTTGCTTACGATCCGTGTGGCCCGCCACCAGGTACTCCACGCCTGGAAATGAAATGAATCGCCATGCTGAACTTCATCTTTAAACCTTTTAAAACTTTCAATCCAATTGTTAATCAAAGGCTGCAGAATTTTTTAACAGTATTTCAGTATTTCAAGACTCCAGTTGATGATAGGATCTGGGTGACAGTTGGGGTTACCAGCTGTGCTTTTATTGGATCACTAAGTCTATGCCTTGTTTCTGTATTTTCTAACCTGCGTATAATTAATCAGACTAGTTTGTAAAAATCAAACTGTATCAAGTAAAAAAAAAGTAATCTCCAAATAGAAGAATTTCCATTTTTCAAATAAATATCGCAATCACTGATTCCACCTCACTGTAGGTCTTGACCTGTTAGATATTCTATGTAGCTTCTTACTTGTACTGTTATTGTTATGATTATTTTCTGTGATTTCAGTTCTGCAGTCTTTAAAAACCGGCTGTGTCTCTGTGCCTCACCGGGGTTGAGGATGGGACAGGTGCAGCCCCTCGCCGTCCAGGACTCGGGGTAAAGGGTGACCCGACCGTTTTCGATCTTCAGTTTGGCGTTTTGGCTGAGAACCTTTTGAACTTTAACCTCCACCTCGGCATGGGAGCCTTTGTCATGGGCCGACAGCACTTTCACTTTCAGCACTAAAAGTCGGGAAGAGAGAGAAAAGATGTTGACACACAGTAATTTCGCTCATACAGGAACTTCACACTTATCAATATCACAAGAGGTTAAGAAGACCTAGGAACAAGGCTGATGTGTAAAGAAGCAGCTGTGTGGAGCTGGACCAACTTTAAACCGGATTTTCTTTGATCAAGGAACCTTTTATGCTCACAGACTGAATTCAGATAAGGTTGTTTTTCACCAGAGGGGTCGAAGCCGAACTGATTATTGCTCCGAATGTGCCAATATTTCACAGCAGGTGTCAACTGGATGAATACTAATGGCTCTTGTGAGCTTTTTATCTTTTCTTTGAGTGCCGTCTTGATGTCCTTACATGTGGTTTTGCGTTAAATAAGCTCAATGGGGAGAGCTTTGTCAGTAAAACGACAGTCTTTGTTTTTTTTTTTTTTTTTTTTATCCATGTCGTGCCTCATGGCCGACTACCTGTACTACCTGTTTAGAGTTCATTTATAAATTGGCAAATACATCATGATACATTGGTAATGGAATTCAAAGCTGCAACTAAGAAAACCAGTGACTTTGGACAAGCAAGGTTGAGAAAAAAAACAGGACGCAATCTTTCAATTCTAACGACTCATCCAGCCCATACCAGGTTATATTCAGCCAAAAGGAGCTTTCTGATCAACAACATCACATGCTAAGCTGCAGTGTCATTATTCAGTCAACAAAAACTAAGTCTGAATAGATGTGCAGAGCTTTAATAGGCTAGCAGCCAGATCCTGTCTATCAAATGTACTTTACTGGTTGGTGGTTGGGGAGGGGTTTTGTCAGTTTGCGGTTCTTGAGGATTCAGGTGGGTCTTAACATGGTAAAGAGCAAATGTTCCAGAATAGTTCCACCATAGAAGCAGCCTCCTATGTTAGCTTTTTCTTTTTATTTCCTCTGTGAAAACTGGTCCTTTTGATGCTGTGCAGCTGAATACGGCCAACTGCATTTTCAACACCCACAGTCAAGTCAGGAAAAAGGGAAAACTCCCTTTTTCTGAGAACAAACTGAGCTGGGGGGCTCCGATCAGGATGTGGCAGGAATATTTATGAGAATTTTCTAGTAGGTTATTTAAAGTTAAGAGTTAGGTTTTCTTATGCACACATCCTCAGGCACTGACAGTGCTAAAAAAAACAAGTTACTTTTGTCAAGCTGCTTTCCAAATCCACATTTTTTAGGCTGAGGTCTAATTCTCCTAGTCTCCCAACGACACAGTAAGGATTTTTACTGTGGGGTCATTTCAGATCACACTTCTTTTTTTTTTTTTTTAAACCTAAAGAGACTTCTGGGAGTCTGGTTGTAGTATCCATAATAATTGCTTATTAACCACCGGCTGTAAAATAAAGACAAAGTGCTTCAAAGGTGGGCCTCGCAATCAGAGCGAAGGGAGATCTTACCGTATGCATAATTCATGGTGCAGAAGAGTTTGCTGTTTGTCAGGGCTTGCTCTTTGCACTCACACTTCTCTGCAGGGGACAGACACAAGAACAGATTTGTAACGTGGTCAGATAACCTGTGTGTGTGTGTGTGTGTGTGCGTGTGTGTGTGTGTGTGTGTGCGTGTGAGAGAGAGAGAGGCTATGTGTGGCGTCCTAAGAATGCCAGCATAGTGTATGTGTCCAGTGAGGAATGTGCATATGGAAGCTGCTGTTTCAGAGGGGTGGTGGTGGTGGTGGTGGTGGTGGGTGTGTGGGGGGCGTTATGGGAAGGAACGCATGCACAAACTGAGGCCCTTTTCAGGGTTTTTATTACTTAACCGTTAATGCTCGGGGGCCGGACTACGGAGGAGGGAGCAGAACACCGTGTGGCTGTGTCTCACCTGAGTAGTGGAGAGCAGAGAAGAGCTCATCGGCCCTGAAGATCCTCACAGATTCGCTGGAGTTTCCGTCGAAGTTGGGCAGCTCCAGGTCAAAGCTGTAACACACGACCACAGGCGTTGAGTGGGACTCCACAGGAGGAACCTGCCCCACACGCAGCACCTGAGGGGACGGCTTCAGGAATGTCGGCTCGGGATGCCGTGAAAATAAGCCCCCATATTCACGGTCCACATACGGATCTAATAACATCCTGGCTTTTCCCTTAATGGCTTATTTCAGTTTGACATCTGATTTAATTTTGTAACCTTTTACATTGAAAACTACTGGGTTTACCCCCATAAATGTCTGCTCTACATATTCATATAATGCTTCGACACTTAAAATATCGCCATCTTAATGACTTTCCAACCAAAATAAATTCACCCCACTTGAATCGTATAAAAGTTACATGGCCTTGCTGTGTAGTCTAATCTACGATAAGTGATTTTGATGATTGGCCAATTGTCTTGCCAAATCCCAGTAGCCACGATCTATACATGGTCACTTAGTGACACAAGGCCATCGCAACCAGCAAAATACTTCCCTAATACCCTGCTTTTGATTTAATTTTGGGTATTGGAGGGGAAGAATCTATTTTTACGCACCCAAACACGCAGTCTCCCGTGAACGGGTCGCAGTCTCCGGCGCAGTCACACGGGCGGCAGCCGTAGTCGTGAAAGCCCCAGTAGCCCACCATGCACCTGTCGCAGTGAGCTCCGCCCACTCCAGGTTTGCAGATGCAGTTCCCATTGGCGGGGTCGCACAGCGAACCGTCGGCCGAGGGGAAGGGCATGGAGCCCAGGGGGTGGCAGTCGCACGCTGGGGAAAGCAAAAGTTAAGGTTCAGATGCGAGGATATTTGCATGGCAGCGGCGTGACGAGAAAACGTGGACGAACGGGACTTGGGATGAGGATCGCTGATGGAGAAACGTTGAGGCAAGCTTCAAAAGCAGTTCCGGACTTTAATCTGCCAGCAGTTTTGACTCACGGCAGAATAAAGCTGTTAAGGTTTTTTGGCTGGCTTGTGTCATGGTCAAAATGGCTGGACGTTACAAAACGTTTAAAACCACTAGAATACGTCAAATTGCAATGGCTCGTTGAGTATGAAGGTCATCTTGGCGTATGAGTGATTTACAACCAGCACTAAAATGACTGACGTTTATCAGTTTCCTCGGAGTCTGGTTTTCAGACAAAAGCCTTTTGTCTTTTTCATCCTTTTTATCAAGCACGTTTTCATCTATCTTTACGACTTAACCATCACGGCTAGAAAAGTTGGCCGTGTGCTGACTTGAAGTGGCCCTTTGAACGTCTGTCTCCCAAAGCAAGGGACTGCCCAGCATATTCTCGAGGTCTACAACTCAAACAAGCTCTTGCGGATGGAAATGCTTTACAACCACCTCTAAAAAAAACAATATTCTTTCTCCAACACTGTCACATCCACCCATGTTCCCACTGGCAGTTTTAAGAAAAGTTCTGTCTGCTGGGACTCAAAGCCTGCCATAAATCTGTCTAAAGAGCATTTCTCTGGAGACACTTCTCTTCTGTTTAATGATGCCGTTTGTCCAACTGGAAGCACACCCAGAAAGCTCTGCCTTTATTTCTTTCTGTTCCCCAATCATCGATAAGACTTTACGTAGAGAACTTGACTTGTTTTTTTAACTAAACTTCATGACTTCTCGCTGAATTTGCTGTGGACGAAGAGGGTCGTGCTCCTCTGTGGTTCAGGATGGGAAAAGATGCAGAGGGGGTCTCACATCGTATGAACTGAGGACTCTGCTGTGCCCCCGGCTGCCTTAGGGGCCTCTGTGGCAGACGGGAGAGATATTTAAGTTAAACGGCTGCATTTAAAGCCAGACTTATCTGGACGAATGGGGGGTCACTGGATGAAAGAAATCTGAAAGCTCTTCGATAACTATCTGGGAAGCGGCAAGCAATTATATCAAATGATGGGCTGGTTTGAGAACCCGCTTAGATGAACTGGTCAACAAACGTTTGCACCATTTGTGACGTAGCCTTGGCGGTGAGAAGTTATGTGGAAAGCTCAGACACACAAAATTGAAGCGAACCCAAAATATGAACAAACAGGAGCAACGTGATCCTTTTGAGAAAATTTGAATTTTCAAGAAATGTTGCTAACAGTTGATAAAATCATCCGTTTAAACAAAAAAAAATCCAAGTTGTCAACAATTCAGCAGTTTAATCGGACTGTCCTTAACCTTTTTGTTATAACTGACTGAATATATTACATAATCAAGTCTTTTCTTTTTATAACATCTCTCATCTCTACAATAAAATAATCCAGTGTTGATCTACAGACGTTGTTATGAGATTTAATGTTGCTCCAAAAGCTATGTGCACACTCAGGGTTTTATCTAAACTCAAGCAGCTTGTCTGTGAGCTCCCTGATCAACCTCCCAGGGCGTCAAACCAAAGCAGCCAATTCGACAAATTGTCCAAAAGGGCAATAGCAAGAACCCTTATCTTGTGGCCCGAAGTGTACTGTATCCATAAACCCATAAAGGTCTTACATTTACATATCTGGAAAGCGCAAGGCCATGTCTGCTCTATTCTTTAAGGAGCTGCCTCCGCGCATTAATAATTAACGGAAAGCCAAAACACGGGGGGTGGCGTCGCCCCCCCCCCCCCCCCACCCTCAGACGATGAGAAACTTTATGAGAAGACAACAAAGCCCCGCTCACGCCCCTGAGCGCGCGCTGGGACTTTGCTTTCTGAGAAACTGTTTCAGGTGCGCGCAGGGTTGCGGGAGGACTGTCTAATCTCCAGGGCCCCTCAGAGGTTGGTATGAAAAAAATGTTCCCCGCGACGGAGGGAAATTCCTCTTTTTTTGTTAGCGAGCGGGATTTCACAACAGGTACCTTCGCCCCCCTCCCAATCAATCAGCTGTCAGTGGGGGTCATTTACCGCTATAGAATAGAATAGAATATACTTTAGTGTCATGGGAAATAAAGTGTATTTATGTATGGACTTTATTGCCATACACTAAACAGGTGAGCTCTCAGGTGTAACAAATATGCCCCCCCCCCCATCACTGAAACTCAAGCCGCACACAACAGTTGCTGTAAACAAGGCGGCGCACCGTTTTCTGTCACCTTATCAGACATTTTCAGGCTGTTGGAAATACCGAAGGGGCAAAAACGAATGAGGCTGCACAAGTCGGAACGCAATCGCACGCTCGTTGTTATCAAAGCCGAACAAGGAAAGCAAAGAAAAACAGACCCTCCTTTGTCGCAGGGGTAAGAACCGCGATGCGCATGCTGTACCGTGGCCAAGTAGAGAGAAGACTTAGAGGAAAACACAAGTTTCAATCTGTCATTCTATCAGCAACGTTGGTGTGCACCACCACCAAACGCAACCAGTTTGTGGTCCGTAAGGGAGTCGTACATCATCCCCGCCAGTCCTTCTCCCAGTAGAGTACACGAGTCTCTTCATGGGCAAGCACCGAGATACCTTTCTGGCATGTTAGAGCCATATGAACCAGCTCAGACTTTGAGAACCTCTGCCTCTGGCCTCCTGATGGTGCCCAGAGTCAGAACTAAACAAGGTGAAGCTTCATTTCAGTTCCATGCTCCTAAAATTTAGAAACAGTCTTCCTGAAGATGTGAGACAGGCTTCAACTCTGACATACAAATAAACTTGCATTGCCTTGGCTTTCACAGGAGGGGAAAGGAGCCACTGGACTCTCCATGATGCTGTACACGTTCTGAGTAAACATTAAAGCATCTTCTGCCTCTATTTGTACTCCCTGGGACAACAGCATACCTGGAAATATGGCTGAATGCGCATCACAGACATATTTAAGTTACTTGAATGATGATCTTGTCAGATGGCCCAGCAATAATAAATGGAATTGTATTATGAAGAGCAGGTCAACAAAACTAAAATCTCAAAAATGTGCTTTACTGTGAATTGCTCCGTATTAACATGAAGTTAAACTTGGCTTTTGACCCCCCAAAAAATGGAAAAAGGAGGTGACAACATCCATTTGATGTAGTCAGCATACACACGTGGAGTTGTTGGGTCCAGCCTTGCATTATCCAGATACGTTTGGGTTTAAAACGCCAGATTTTTGAGTTAGGAGGCTATATCATGGGAAGGTTGGATCAACATCTATGCTTTACGTTTTTCTTTTTCACCACCATGAGATTGACATCTGTGTGTTTTTTAACTGTGTCTGTAACTGCTTGATGACGGGGTTGATTTGCCCGAAATGCACATACGTCAACGTTAACAAACACCCCCAATCAAGTCCAGGGCTGAGCTCTTTCGGTCAAATCTGGCAGATAATCAAAGGGAGAATGTAGCCGCGGCTCTGTTTATGGATGACTATCTCCTGTTTATTTAAGACTCGTTCCATCGGGGGAGGGCAGCACGCCGCTCAACCCCTAGTCGACACACAGACATACACACAAAGAGCGGACCCTCACACATTTACGACCGACAATGATTATCCAAAAAGCGAGCTGAGCTCTGAGTCATATCTTAAAAAATGGCAAAACAAGCCAAGATGGACAAGCTGCCGTCTTGTGTCGAACCTTGAGTCAGGACGAAGGAATGCCGCCATCTGATGATTAACTACGATGTAAACCTTGGATAGAGCGTGGGCCGCCTGCTGCCACACACACACACACACACACACACGCACGCACACACACACACGCGCTATCATGGCCAGGTGCCCGTCAGGATTCAGCTTCGCGCGGCACGTCCCAGCTTGTGATCTCTCTATCCTCAGCATTCCTTGGGAGAATGGGAGCGTTGTGCCAGTGTGCTGTGAATGAAGCTGAATGCTGTGATTCACATCAGCAGCACTTTGCCACTGCAGGTTTGATTTATCATACCTCCTGACGCTTCACGGTGCGGTTTAAAGGTCACACTCTTGCCATTCAATGCATACTTTGAACAAAACGGCACCCAAAATAACATTTAAAAGGGACATTCTGTTACACGGACCGGGATATGGACTCCTATTAACGCTGCATCAAGGATTTCCATACAACATCACCTTTGAATTACGATATTTATTTTCAAAAGTCCATGTTTCTGCGTGCTGTGTGCCAGACGGATTCAATTGTTGAGATTTGAATCATTTTAAAAATGCATTTTTTTCCCCCTTTGGTGCTTCCTTCCATACAAAGTGAGAGCATGTCGGCCATTCCTAAACGCACTCCATAGGACCCAACTTAAAGAAACTATTTAAAGAAAGGAAAAGTGTTTAAACACTTTAAAATGAAGGAAACGCCTTATAATTTGGTTTAATTTTTGGCATGGCCAGAAGTCGGAACCTTGTCTGTGCCGCTTTGGATTGCCCTCTTTATTTTTCTGGCGTGGGCAGTCCAGGCTGGGAACATGCCTGCTTATGCACGTTTCAGGTGGCTACCTCATGCGTGCTCTGTTTGTTTGGAGTGCCAGCTGTGCACGCTCCCATAAAAATCAAGCCGATATGTATGCCAAGGTGCGTCATGAAAAGAAGGCTAAACAGGGGAAAAGTGACCAATGGGTCTCAAATGCTCCTCCAAGTCCATCGTTGGAATCAAAACGTTCTGCGTGGTCCAAGTCCTAAAATTGTGCACCTACAAGGAGTCCTCAGACTCTAGGTGGAGTTTACAATGTGTGAATAACCACACGGTCCAACAGTAAAAGCCAGGTTGGGCATTTTAGGAGAGCGGCCCCCTCGAGGACTGGAGTTTGAGACCATTCCATTAAAATTTTCTGGGTGGGTGCGCGTCTTACGTTTGCAGGAGTCCGGCGCAGTGAGCGGCCGCTGGGGGTCCCTGTAGAAGCCGGACTTGCATTTCTGACACTGACGGCCTTCCGTGTTGTGCGCGCAGTCACACACGCCGCCGCTCCGCTGGCCGGACTCGCGCCACGCCGTCCAATCGAAATGGCAGCTCTGAGCATGCCCGCCGCACTTACACTCTGGAGAGAGGAAAAAAAAAAAAGACAGGTCAGCCGCGGAGCACAGTGGTGCGTTGGTTTGGGTTTTTAGTCTGACTTCGCTCCTTTCTCATAGACTTCTCTCCCCCTGTCTCTCACCCGCCCACCCTGAGCCATGGTTCTGCTCGAGGTTTCTGCCTCTTAAAAGGAAGTTTTTCCTTGCCTGTGTCGCCTAGTGCTTGGTTTTGGTGGGAATTGTGGGGGTTCTGTAAATAACTTCAGAGTGGGGTCTGATCTGCTCTTTATGGAAAGCGCTGTGAGAGAACTGTTGTTGTGATGTAGCGCTATATAAATAAAATAGAATAGAATTTAATTGAATTGAACTTCAGGTTCAAAATTAGTCTTCAGACTTTGGCAAAACATCGACTGTAATCCTGTCGTGATTTGGATGCTCATCAAAGGTCTTGTTGGGATGGAATGCAACATTTGATTGCGATGGAACTTAATATGTGGTGTAAAGACAACAGCTGCTTCATAGGCTGTACCCCCCCCCCCAAAAAAAAAAAAAAAAAACAACAAACATGTGGAAGAAGTGTGATCTCGTTCGGCCGACTCACTCCGACATTCGTGCGGAGCCCCGGTCAGGCCGTCGGCCGGCTGCCAGGGCCGGTCATTGTAGAGAGGAGCGCAGCGCTCGCAGTGTTCACCTGCAGTGTTGTGTCTGCACACACACTTTCCGTGGATCTGAGAGAGAAAGACAGAGCTCATTAGCTACAAGCAACAAAAAAAAAACAGAAAAAAAAAACGAAAGCCGGAGGCCCAAAGGGAAGGATGTGAGGAACACAGAGGTCAGTAAAAAGGTGGGGAAAGTTTCCCCAAAAGACTTCCTTCCTCATCTCTCCTCTTCCTCTGCCACCTCAGGTTTGCTTATTCTCTCTTGCTCCCATGTCTGTCTCTGTGTCTCTTTCCTGAAATTAGTGAATGGAGGTTGATTGTTTAGCTTCATTGCTTGCAACAAGAATGGGCCTCTGCTCTGAAAAGACTGTGTGTATGTGTGTGTGTGTGTGTTTATAAGTATGTGTGTATGAGAAGAGTACAAGTATGCAGCTCTGAGAGCACAATAACAATCTCCTTGTCATTCCTTTGAGCTGGAATGCCATGCATGCTGGATAATGATTGAGGGGGGGGGGGGGGGGGGGGGGGGGGGGGTGCTTCTGAGGAAGCTCTTTATTTGTTTGCGTTACACCGTGCAACTGTAATGTAGGACACGCAATAACACGGTGATTACAGAAGGTAGACACACACTAATCAACGCGCACACAAGCATAGAAAATAACTCGAAAAGCACAAACGCTCGCACCCAGTCTGACATTCGTTTCCCACGGGTGCGCGACAGGTCACTAACCCCCGAATGGCTTCGGTTCACAGGCCGCTCCGAGAACAAGCCCGATAGGTCGATAGGTGCGTTACAGTAAACGACACGCCCTCCGACTGAACTGAGCTCGGATGGCCGCACACACCCGGTCGTATAAGATGGGAGCGAACGGGGTTGGTGGTTGACCACGTTTCAGTTGTGTCGGAGTCATTAAGATTAGGCGCTTTTCCAATAAAAAGGAGGTCAAACGCTATCATATGACCCCAAACATGATTTGGCTTACGGATCATAGGCATGCTTGTTTCAGGTGGTATTAGTGGAGGCAAACCAAAGGTGACACTTGAAACAGTTAATCCTGCAGCTGTTACCGTTTTATGGGACGATCAAGGATTTGGCAACTGCAAACTGTCATAACAACACAATGCGGGAACTTCAAGAAAAGCTGTAAAGCTGATCTAGGACTGGATTCAACCTGAGGATGCAGATGGCATGTTAACTTGTTTGGGCTTTTTTGCACCCTCTCAAAGATTGACTTCCATTATTGATATCATCGGCGAACTAACTCAGATTCCCCGTTCCACCACTGTATTTACAAATAAGATGCTTTTCCGTGATATGTGCATCATTATTCCGAGCTCTTTTGCATGTTGAGGAGCCAATATATCTGTTTTCACTGCTTTTATTTTCCCCTTTTGGTACACAGGGAAACTTTGGAAAGCTACATATTTCAACGTGTTATTGGACAAACGAGGTTGGCCAATAGCAAATAATGATAGGAAAAGTTTTGGGGTGCTGTGGGATCATGAGCCAAAACTGGTATGTTACCACTTCGGTACATCCTTATGTTTTCAAAATGATCCCATGGGGGGGTTCCATTTGGAATGAAAACGCCTGACTCCTGAATAAATGTCAGGATGTATTGCATCGTCTTGTTTAATATTTCTGAAATGAGAAATACTGAAATGAGAAAACACCACGAGGAACTTTGTTTCCTTTGGGTGAGTTGGTATTTTGTTTGGTTATCTCAATATAAGAATGGTGTTATTTTGTGATCTGTTATCACACTTCCAAGGGGGATGTTGGACCTTATGCAATGCTGCTTAAAGAAATATTTTGGCACACGTTGGTTTGGAGAGTGTGTGTCTATAAGCAAAAGCGAGCAAATAGAAAATAAATGTGGACATAACATGAAATAAAAGAAATTCGATATGGACACGGAAACAGAGCCACAGTAACACACTGATTGGACTAATTGCCAGCTAGCGTAAAGCTACAGTAGCCGGCTCTGGATGTCATTAAGTGTGTGTGTTGGCTTTGTGGTTAACTAACAGACAGTGTAATCACCCTGAACCACAAAACCCCCGTGGAGGGACAACAAACAAACTGGGCCTTTCGTCTTACAGTCTTCCGAGCAGTAATGACCCCGAGTGCCACTTTCTCTGCCGATTACTGCACACACACGCGCTCGGGGCAGACAGACTGCTGCACGCCTGAGACACAACGCACACGCGCCTCTTTTGCGTGTGGTAGACCAAACACGTGCATCTGTGAGGGGAAAAGAATTTATAAAGCACCACTGTATGTTTAGCATATTCCAAAGACAGACTTGGGAGCCCTTACATAAGAATTCCAAAAATGCATAACCACTAACACACACACAACACACTCACAGACACACACACACATACCATGCGCCCTTCCCTTCCCTGAGTGACTGGTAATCTTTTCCTTCATCTCCTGTCTTGTGCTGCTCTGCTTGTTTGGGTTTTGCTAAAACAGCAGGTCTGCCTTGATACAGAGATACAAAGCAAACTTTTCATAGTTGGGAAAAAGGTACTTATATAACACGCGCGTGTTTACCGAACCCTCCCGCATGACACACGGTACAACAACAATCCAGTGACCTGACGTAATGTTTGGGAGGACAGTTGGGTCTCAAATTCGAGGTCTGTTGGAACGAGCATGGTCCAATATTCCAGTGCGTTATAATTTTTTTCTTTCATCGTTCTCATTCTGGGAAGGAGGCTTTTAGAGTCTTGTGGTATAAAGACAGGTTGAGAGGATTTTCTACCCTCAAAGGAAGAAAATCCTTGTGGAAAAACAGTAGAGCTACTTGGAATTTCTTGGCATGAAAATAGTCAGTTTTTAAGACGTAAAGATCTGTGTCCAATAAGTCAAACATCGGCTGCTAAGTCTGTAAGACAGGAATCGAAAAGAAAGAAAAATCATGTGACATTGCTTAAAATGTTCTATGTTTAATCTCAGTTTATCTATTTATTTTTCTCAGGAGCTTTCATAAGAGCAGCTTCTGTTTCTGATAAAGTATGTTTTTACCTAAACAACTTCATTTAGAAATGACTACATCAAAAGGAGAAACATATTTTCAGCATCAGGGATGAATTAACTAAGAGTAAAATCTTTACTAAGAGTCTTCAAATAAAAGAGGCTCTGACACGTTTTACTGAACAAGCTGGAAGAAATTCAACACTTCGATGTCTATTAGCAACTGAAGCGGATTGTCTCCTCCATTTCAAACATAGTCATTTATGGATTAATTTAGTTAGTGTGTACAGTGTTATCAAATCCAAAGGAAAGAGTGACTTAAAATACCAAAGTTCAAAGGACTCAAACTGTTCGCTTGAATGAATTTGATATATGAGTCAAAGTCCACAGTCAGGCTTTGAACTGTTAGGTCTTAAGCTTGATGCTAACATCAGCCAGAGTATAGTTATCAAAAACAAACATTTGCCTTCACAGGAAGTTAGAGCAAAAGAACAACACATTTTTCTTGAATTGTTTTCTATTTAATAGTAAAGTGGATGGGACGTGTTTACAGTAAATGATTAGACTTGTGGCTTCTATTTTTGGCCTGCTGGTCATTCTTTTTAAGGCAGTTTAGGTCCAAACACTCATGCCATAACAAAGCTTCTTCGTCAAACAACACTCATTGGTTTGTTTTTCAGATAAACGGTTATAATTATTAAAGAGTAAGAATTATATTAAAGATATTAGTGTTGTTACAGTACGTGTCAGGTTGTCATGAATTTCCCCCCAACCCCTGAGACAAAGATCCCAGTAAACTAGGTTATAAAGCCAGATTTTAGGTGTATTGTAGGGTTTTGAATACGTTGCTTCTTACGCGTTTGAAAGGAAATCCACTCTTTTCTGTTGAGGTTCTCTGATTACAGCAAAACAGGCGTTCAGCCTCACAGCAGTCATGTTTGTCGAGATGGCCGCGATAAAAGCTGTGCTCTGAAACACTTCTCTTCACACCTTTATCAATGAATACATATTTCAACACCCCATTAAAACCCAAGTCGATATCTCCATCTCCCGAGTTTGTTGTGAGCAGACAGGCAGATGTTAATCTGACCAAAGGAAGCAGAAAATAAAGAAAGGTGACCCCCTCCTTCAATCTGCTGTAAACACCACTGCAAAATACTAAAAAAAAAAAACGAGAGCGACGAGCGATTTGTTCTGGAGCTATCGGGTCTTGAGATCTCGATTTCACAAGAGCAAGAGAAAAAGCTGCCCACGGGGTGCGACTGCTGCATGACAATAATCAAAACAAGTGAGACTGGAAGAGAGGAAAAACATGTCGACCTGTCAAAACAATGCAGGAAAGGAAGAGCGGCGCAATCAGCGTTACGGTTGAAAAAAAAAAAGAAAAGTGTTCACTCCGGACTGAAAACAAACAGAAAAATAATAAATCCACTAAAAATGGAATGAAATGCATCCAACGTAGACGGAAAACAAAAATACTGCTAAAGCTTGGATCACACCCATGTAAAGGTTGAACAGAGCTCACCAGGGCGGCCAAATACGGTGACCTTCACGCAAACTGTGGTTGGTTTGCTTTGTTTTTCTGCGTGTCCTTCGCATACTGCTTTGCCAAAACGAGATTTGCGATAGACAAATTTGCGAAAAGGTCCAGGAGGCCCTCTACAAGAGGTCAGCTTTTCAGAATAACTTGTTCTTATAAAGACGGTCATGTAATCATGTCCATCTCACGCCCCATTTTAGGAATCAATCCATGTAGACTGTCACTACAAGATCTGAAAGTTTTATGCAGAAAATGTTCTGCCTGAATCTAAAGAACAACCAACCAATCACAAATGGTATATTTAATGGATTCATCTACCCGACTGAGGGAAACTTTGCTGGATGTAACAGGAAACTTAAGGATTGTGAGTTCTTATTGACAGAATAATCTTTACAAACGGACAAATTGTCTTTACGGACAAATTTATCGAGCTCATGTCTTTTTTATTTCTAAAACTTATTTGAACGTGTCATTTAAAGAAATATACAGTAAACCATGTGACTTAGAAGTTGGGGTGACATGGGGCTGCATGAATATAAATTAATTTTAAAAATTGGACCTTTACATTACCTGACTTATTTTGGGACTATGAACTCAAGTGATGAACTAGTAATATCAAATATATTTATTTTAGTGTGTGAGGAGTCACCTTTAAGGGAGCTTGTGAAGGATTGATATTTCACAACAGTGGTTGTAGGGTGGTTTAAGTTCAGGATTAAGAGGAGAAAAAAAAAGTTCCACCTTCCACAAATTTGCAGAAACACTTTCAAAATGGGTGCGTTTTGTTAAAAAACAAAATACCAAGACTGCTTGGTCTTACCACGTGATTGGTCCGGTCGCTGATGGGTTGGTATCCGGGGGCTGGAATGCACTGCTCTGCGTGGCCGTTGCAGAAGCAGCTTCCCTTCACGATGAGATCGTAGATGGCGAAGTGTCGGGTGGGAGCGTCCACGCTTGCGAGGTCTTTGGTCTTGCAGGGGCACGCCTGACGCTTCAGCAAGCGGATTCGGATGTTGGTCACTCTCAGCTGCTGCTGGCCCTCCACTCCAAAGGGGTCCAAAGACTGCCACTTCGGGAGGGTTCGGTAGATCACCTGAGAGACACATGCTCTGTCAGTTCAACAGCTTAGCATCTCTGTCTTCTAACTGCTGTGTTCCAAAGGGGATCTCAACAGCTCGTCTAAGCATTTGATGGATAAAATCACCTTAAAAAAGTCAAAGAGTATTTGAATGTGGTTCGATTTGTTGTCAAACGTCTATTTTTCCAACTCATACCAGCGTTAATTTTTACTTCAATCTTGGTCCACCTTTATGCTGAAAATCTCAATTATTTAGCAAAATAGAACCAAACCGTGACTAACTTTGCTGTATTGCTATGGGTCATGAAGTTTTGTGGGTTTCGTTTTTAAAAACTTTTCAGGCACTTTAAAAGAGGAAAAGTTGCAGCAGATAAAAATCAGGGTATTCCAGAAGCTCGGTCAATGTCTCAAATCCCTATACCACTGTAGTCAAAATGTTCGCTTTTATCTGTGGTAAAACTTTCATTCACGACTGTGACAAACAAATATTTAATGACTGTATGCTATAAGCTAAGCAATGATTATCATTATGATGAGCTTAAGTTCACTTCAGTATTTGAGCGGGAAAAAAAAAAAAGTTGGATTAGAAAAACCATCAATGTCATTGGCCATCACACTCAAAGACACCACTGAATTAATATTCAGAATTACTTTGAAATCGGTTTTTATACTAAACCGTTTGCAGAATCATCCTAGTTGCGACCTAATTTCCTTCATTTTACAGAAATGCCGAACAGTATCAATTTGTTAGGCGTTTACATTACTTTATGAATTCATAATGATCTTAAAATGTGGAGAACAATACTAAAATTTGGGACCAAAAAAGTGAGAACCACACTTTATGATTTAGAGCGATTGGACGGGTGACTCAATCAGGCTCAATGTAGAGGCTCATGTCGCTATATCTGCCGTGTTATTGGGGGTTTGTTCTGGGATCATTTGTGCTCTAAACTCTGACCTGGCACCCTGACATCGTTGGAAGTTACCCCACACGACAATGAATGTGCTGGGCATCTTTACATGAGCGCTCTACCCCCTTCCCTCTCCCTCCTTTCGCCCTGTCTGGTCCCTGGACATCCTTCAAATGGAAGATCCCTTTATGGGCTGCCATTGCTATGGTTACTGCTGCCGCTAGCAACTAGCACCGCTGCTGGTGTTGGGGTGAAAAAAGTTGGTGCCTGCACCGAGAAATGTGTATTTGCATTGTGCCTCTTGACAAGAGTGCGTGTTTTGTGGCTGCATCGCTGCAGGAACATTATGCTTTTTAAAAAAAATACTGAGAGACATGGAGAAAAAGGAACAGTGCTAGTCCCTGATTGGCTGGATGACTGACTGGGGAGTGTTATGGGAGGAGCACTATTAGTTTCCCCCGTTGTTGGAAAAGGTTACCGGGTCACGCCATTGTGGTCAGCAATTAAGGGAACACGACAAATAGCATGAGGGGCGCCGGTCCGCAGGAGAGTGAGGAGAGCAGGACCAGACAAAGGCCGGGACGAAGATCCAGCTCCACATAACTCAGGACCAGACAAAGGGCCCGGAACAGCCCAGCGATACCTAAGCAACATCGGCACCACCATGGAACCACAGTGGCACGCAAACATGAACTAACAATTCACATCACTCTTGCGCATTCCTTTAATCAACACGAATTCCACAAGAGGCCTTCCTGAAGCTTCTTTTATAGAAGCTTTCCTTACAGTCTTCGATGGAAAGCGGGAATAAAATATTCCTGTTCAGAGATATGCAGATGATGTCACCGTTTATCAGCCCTTGTATGATTGCATATGAAGCTGAGTCTAACTCGTTTAAGGGGACTCCGAAAAGTTGGGGGATAGTAAGATAGATTAAGTAAAGTAGGAGCAACAGAGGTAGGGGGAACAACCAGGCCTCCCCATTAATTGGATCTTCCTATCCTTCCTGAGGGATCTCATGCCATATGAGAGCCACTATCCCTGCAGGGTTTTTGGTCAGCCTCTGTCTACGGTTCAGCTAGGTACACCTGGTAAACCCCAAAATTGGAGTCAAGGAAGCATCCATATCAGGGTCTTGAATCACCTTGGCTAACTTTCATTGAGGTTTTCCAGAGATTTTGGTTCTCGTGCCGGTACAGAGCTAGAACCAGTTCTTCCTGCACCAGCCATGACAAGCAGACAGCAAAGTTCAGATATACAGTATACACGAAGAGACATTTAAAGTGACGTAATAACATGGTTTAGTAGCGGCTCCCTGGCAGGGCGGTGGAAAAACAAAGCAATTTTTACCTGGTTCTTGACTGAGCCAACCTAGAACTATCGTGTGTGTTCAGGGAAACAACGGGTCTACTTTGAATTCCTTCAGGATTTGCTGACATCTCACCCAATCTCCAAGAAAAAGCTCAAGGACCTTTTGGAAAACATTTACTTCAGATGCTTAAAAGTGTTGATGTTCTTTGCAATATTAGAAAGTTTTTTTCCAATAGTATGAAGTGTGAATGGAGAATAGTCCTAAACACTTAGGTATGGGGTAAAAGATGGATGTTTGCATAAGATCTGTCCAGTCTAAATGCAATCTCAGTGTCCATTTACTAGTCCCTATGGTGCTTAAACACACAATTGAAAAAACAAATAAACAGCAAAGCAGCCTACACCTTTGTCTTTAAGTCAGACACAAAACACAAAAGCAATAAATCTACACTATCAGTCCCAGATCCACCCCAAAAATGTATGGACGGATACGCTAGCCGAATTTTTGACTGGTATTTTATGCCCAAGAATGCCCTGTGGGTATTCAAGGACTGGTTAATGTAACCAAAGGGGAAAGATCATATACATTTTTTCATTTTTCTTTATTTCAGATAAAAATTATGTTTGGCTATTCAAAGGTTTATTGTGTTGGAAAGTACTTTAAAAGACAGAAGACCAACATTTCAGCTGCTCAGTTGGGTGGGTGGAGTGGTAGAGCTGTGTTTGCTGAAAGAGGATCTTGCTTACTGTAAACAGTGGTTAGCAGTGTCGTCTATCAATAGAAAACATGACTTTTGAATACCTGGAAAAAAAATCAAACCAGCGTAAATGAAATAAAATGGAAAGACTAGCTTGAGTTTATTCGTGCTAACGTTTGCACTATAACATAACATTTTCTGAATTAAGTTTGTTATCCTATCCATGTTTATTTGTGCTCCGCATAATTACGAACTCATAACAAACGTTTCATGCTATTCCAACCATGTATGCTACAGTTGTGCAGGAATGTGCTCGCAAAGTTCGTTTATTGCAGACATAAACTATTTACAGAGCTCGTGCCGGTCTATGAAGGATATTACCCAATAATATCATTATGTGGGTTGAAAAGATGAGAGGGCAAATTGAGTTGCTGTGTTGAAAGCGCATAACAGGGTTGAAAACGTTTCCCACCTGCCATTAAAGTATGCGCCAGATTTCAGGTTCTGTGAGGCCCGAGGTGGCGGGTTCACCGTGGGCCACGGAAAAGCTGTCTTCCTGCTTTCGGGGCTGAAAAATAAAAGTAAGCCCTGCTCTAACGGGCCTAATTCCATCAAAGCGCTGTGGACTGTAATCTGGTAAACAGGCACAATGGGCATTGAGGGAAGGAGAACGACAGAGAGGGAAACACAGAGGGGGGATGGGTGTCTAGCCAAAAGTACCAACATCCATCGGGACAACAGCACTTCCTTCCGAGCAGACAGACGGAAAGTTGACTGTATGTGTTTATCTGGAAAGGCACGGATGAGTGTGTGCAAGGCGAGTCAGTGTGTGTGTGTGTGTGTGTGTGCCTGCACTTGACTGGTGTGCGTCTTTCTCTTCCCTAAGGGGGCAACTCTCTAACAAACACTCACATTCTTCCAGCCCAGCTGACCTCATAAATAAGACAAGGAGCCTCGAATTCTTTCTCTCCAGCACAGACACACGCCACCTTTTCCCCACATCACAGGTGAACACGAAAAGCTCCCAGCGCAGGACACGGCATGCTTTCATGTCGGCCAGAGCGAGAGGAGAGGCAGAAAGCTGAGAACCCCCTGCTCCATTTAAATCGCTCTCAGCTACCGGCCCCCTTGTTCTCAAAACCTTCACTCCCCGCTTATCTGATCACAGACGGTCTCGACACTCACGGGCAACCCAGTATGCTTTGATACACCTTTAAAAAGGCGCATGTTTCAAAGACACGGCGCGGATAACATTTGCATCATGTTGATGCAAGTTTGGTTAATCCTTTCTGGGTGGATGGTTTAAAATCGTTTTTTTTGGGGTTTTCACGTCCCCTCGTGTGTTAAATCTGAAAGCTACACCTTGATGAAAGCTGGCTTTATGGTTTCTGCGTCTGAATCCATTTAAAAAAAAAAACAATAACTATCAAGCGTTTGGCAGATTCTTACTAAAGAAGACTAAAGATTAGCCATACCTTCAGTGCACCTAAATTCCAAATGGGTTATTCTAATGGAGGGTACTCAATGATTGTGAAAATGAGAATGTTTCCAGGTACTCTGACGTTTGTGGAAATTCATCCTACTTTAAATCATTAATCAGCTTAAGCTTTATATGCTCCTACCAAAATGGAATCACCTGACTAATAATCTCACAATTACTTTTTTGATTAATTATAATGACTGGTTGCTTTGTTTGAAAAAGGTTCCAAATGTATTTAGATATTTTTTAAATGATTATTTCATAAAATAGATTGTCCTTGAGTACCACGAAGATACAATATCCATTGGGTTGTTTAAGTTGGGTTGTTTAATAATGGATTTTTATTACTTTTTGCTAAATGAAACCCAATTCCTTTCCTTATTGACATCTAAACAGTGCTTTAGGGCAAGTGTTCAAAAACTTCTACAATGTTTTTTTTTATTGTTCCTTAACAAAGATACTGTGTGAGTTTGGTTTTGTTTACATGTAAGCTTTCTTCCTCAGTATCTTTATATCCCAGAGCTTCCAAATGTTATCCAAGTATAAATCAATAGATCCATATCCTGCCTGTTCTGACTTGGTCACAAACCAAGTTCAGTAAGCTAAAGCTTCTCTTGGAGGTTCCAGTCAATGAGCCTTCATATAATAGAATTGGGGACCTCTCCTCCATTATGTTTCCACTGTCCTTGAGTTTTTGTATTTAGAATCTGTGCACACTTCTAGGTCTTTGAGCTACAATAAAGCTGGTTAAGAAAGTTACAAGCATGTCCATGATTATAGCTTACACATGTTACCACTCATGCATTGGAATTCCCATCATTTTACACACTGCCCTGCAGAAAACAAGGTACAACCTTTTACGCATTTTCTGGTGAAAAAAACACAATCAAACCTCAGGTAAGGAAAAGCAAACTGGAAAGGGGAACACGGAAATGGAAAGCAGCTAATGACAACAAAGAATGCAGCCCTGGGGAAAACGCCCTGGATATAGCACCATTTACTTTTCAGAAGTGATTTCTGATTTCTGTACGTCATTAGATGTCTGCTCAACGTCCACCGAATTAAATTTTCTTCCATCTTTCCCCCGAGAGACACTGGGTAGTGTTGCTATGGAAAAGGACTTCTGACTTTCCCTCCTGAACCTGTTGCCTCCAAAACCTGATTTTCTTGTTATCCCCAAATTTAGCCCCTTCATCGAGCTGCCCGTTACTCGTCTACAATGTCCACTTTCTGCTATGTTTTGAGATGCAATTTGAGTTGTTTTAATCCATGTGGCACTTAATCTAAATGGAATTGCAGGAAATCAAGCCCCAAAAAAGTATTATTTCTCTCTCTTAATATCCTCCTCAAACAAATTCTGAACTTATATGATTCTGAATTCTGACAGTTTAAGAGCAAATGCGTTAAGACCAGTCACCCCCCAACAGGTCTGGGTCAAGCAACTGTTTGTGCTCCGGTGCTAACAAAACAAGCCAATACCATAAGCTCTTTTGTGGGAATAATTAATCAATTAATCTTTTGGGCTTTACTGCACAGTGTGAAGCCTTGTTTCCCGGGACTTGCGCAAGAACTTTTAACTGTCATCATTTGTGATGTATAATCACGGACGGAGAGAAAAAAGTGTAGATGTTGTGAGACGTGGGACCGAAAATCCTGTCTGTCACGAGGGTGGCCGGACTTCCGTTGACCTCGGGGTCATCGGTGAAGAGGTTAGAAGCCAAAAGTCACGCTTCCCTGCACAGGTGGTTCATGCTTAGACCTCAAGTTGGCGAGAAGAAGAAGAAGAGGAACGACAATAACAAAACGCTATTCGCATGCCTCTGTGCGAAACAGGAGGCGGTGGCACACATAAGCTGAGAAATGCCAAAAAAAAACACAGCTGTCACTACTACTTGTAGAAGTGGTAGTTTGGTGTTAACACACATTGCGTACGAAAGTCCTGGAGGGCTCCTGGCCATGCATCTGTGGCCCACGCTGTTTCGATTAAACATCAATGGACCTCGTGGAGCCCTCCTCTGCTACAGTCAAAGCACGGCCATTAAACCCTCCATCACAGCACGGCTCTCCCCGCCTGGCTCTGCTTCCATTCGGCCCCGCGTGCTAACCGTGCTGCTTGGGATGTTGCGTGACTGGCTGGGGAAAAAAAGCCCCCCCCCCCCGACTCGGTTCCTGGAGGATCGGTTGTTTTTACGCCGTGAATTAGCCGTCAAAAGCGGCGTGTGAAATATGACATCATTAGCACTTCGTTTGCAAGAGAAAGAGTTGGAGAGCGGAACAGGAAACACCCTCCCCCCCCCTCCTCCGGCGTTTCACAGCAGGTGTGGATCCGCCCTCTTTTTCCACCTGCGTTGACCTGCTTTCAGAGCGAGGTAGAAATTCTACACCTGACACCAATCCGATCATCAGAACGGCTCGTCGAGGGAAGGTCTGAGAGCCGGGAGATGGAAGGAGAGCTAAATTGGAGCTGCGGCACAAAAACTTGAAAACAGTTTGCAGTTCATTGGAAGCGAACAAGCCAAAAAATGATGCCGGTTACCCACAAGTTTTAGAATTCCGAGCCGTAAAAGTCCCACTTCTGTGCAACAGCGAATGATTATTAAAAAAAAGGATGCTAAGAAGTACCTGGTGTCTAGACTGTAGTCCAATAAATAGATGCAACACCTTTTTCCCCCCACACGCCCACTCAAATGTGACAGAATGATTAAAACCTGAAGCTAAAATCCATTCATCCACTTCTCCTGCTCCCATGAGTTTTTTTTTCTTTTCTCAGAGGTGGCTATAGTATGCTTTTGGGGTTTTTCCCCTTTCCAATTTGCATGTTACAAATCCCAAAGTCCACAGCACAGGGAGTTATTATGAGTATCAAACACGTTTTCGTACTGCCTGCCTGGAGTTTGGCGTAGCCTCAAGCCATCACTAAGCATCTGCCTCACACTTTGACCAATCAGAGCAGACTGAACCTTTCGGGAGGGAGGGGGGGGGTCCTTAAAGAAACAGGAGTGGTAGATGGACAGAAAGAAGGTGACATGAGCTGACGAAGTCGGTTCAGAAACAGTATGGGTAATGTTTGATACACACTTTGACATTTTACACTCATTTAAAAAAAAAAAGCATCTTTTATTATGCTCGTAAATTAAAGTGACACTCCGTCCATCTTGTGGTTAAAGTTACTTCTTTTTTCCCACCTAAGTCGCAATCTTTCCAATTGTGGCTTAACACTGGGACTACACTAAGGGTGTTAAAAACACTTAATTACATAAATGTCAATGGTTTATTGGCTTTCTTTATTCGGGTTGTGTTTAGTTCGTCCCACAAACGAGGGAAGGCCGCATAGCAGGGAGTGTGTTTCAGGAACAGGCAGGAGAGGAGCACCAAACGACAACAGCCCCATACAAAAGAGTCACCTGGACAACCAAACTTCCTTTCGTGTTCTCTGAACGCTTTCTGAAGGTTTGGGACCTTTTGGCAATGTGTGCAGAACATTTCTGCTAGTGGCCGTATTGCAATGTGGATGATGTGAAACGGCAAAGTCAAATGAAATCATAACATCATAATTCAAATCCTGTAGCATTAACCATCAACTGTCCCTTGTAAGACAAAAAACAATCCCCCCAAAAACTATTGGTTTAATGTAAACTGAGGTAGTTTTATATCAATTCTTGCCCACGTGAAATGTCGATTTCTTTAACACAACAACACTATCTTTAGTCCTGTGAAGAATCACTTGCCGACTCATAAACCTGTCAGCCTTCAGAAATATTTTCTTTTTGTATTCGCAAATATTAAAATACAGCTAATTAGGACGATGCAACAAAGAAAACTCAAGGATTTTTTGAGCCGACGGAAATTTTATGCCGGAGTGCAGAAACCAGAAACCGCCTGGGATGGCTATTTAGCCAAACCAGTTGCATCCCATGCAGTAAAAATGGAAAAAGCGTACAAGCCTTTGTCCTATCGACAATGTCCTGTACGAGTACACACAACTTCCTGTGTGCAGATGCAATCTGAAACCTGAGCCGACTCCACCAATAATAACAAAGAGCGAAATACACTCAGGACTCCACGGGCCCCGGCAGATTCGGTTAAAAAGATGCGATTGAAGCTGGAGACGGAGAGCTGGACCTCACCTCTCCCCGGCTGCAGGGGTAACCGCCCGAATACTTGGAGGTGCAGACGGCGCCGTCCCGGCCCGCCGCCGCCTTCCCCTCCTCCAGCCCGAAGGCGGCGCTGCAGTTGGCGGCGTAGTACTGCAGCATCCTCCACGTGCGGCCGAAGTCCTGCGAGCGCTCCAGGGTCATGGCGGCGGGCCGCGGCGAGCGGAACACCAGGATGAGGTGCGTGAAGAAGAACTCCGTCTCCAGGTCCAGCTGCACCGTCTCGGACTCCGCGCCCTCCGCCGACTGCCACCAGGTGTTGGGGTGGCGGAAGGAGGAGTCGGACATGGCGCCGGCCAGGTGGGACAGCGGGGGCAGGCCGGCGTTACACTTGGCGCACTTGGCGGCGCCGCAGGCCGGCCCTGCGGCAGCGGGCTCGGAGTGGGAGCAGTAGAGCTCGGTGCCGTTGTTGCCGCAGACGGTCTGGGTCAGGACCCGCCGGCCCAGGGCCAGGTTGCCCATGCGGGGGTTGCAGGCCCGGCTCTCGCAGCGGGGGGCCACGCCTGCCCGAAACACATCCACCGACAGACCTGGACGGGTGGAGAGAAAGAAAACAAAACCCTAAACACGAGCTGGTGGCAGTGATGGAATCAGGGATGATACTTTGCAGAAGCTTTTTTCAGCTCAAAGGGTCAGACAAGCCTCATCTGTGTCATCTCGTGGCCATTTGTTAGGATGGATTAGAGATAATTGCATTTTAAATACTCAACAGCTGGAGAAACGAGTTGGAACTAAATTGTTTCAGTGGGCAGGAGGTCAATAACCTGATAACTGGATTTTTTAAAAAGCACCTCAGAGAGGTAGAGTCTCCCAGTGGTCAGGATGAACATGAAAACAGCAAAAGGTAAAAACAGCACATAAAAGTTCTCGAGAAATACTGGGAAAAAAAGTTCTATGAAAGCTAACCTACGATTGCTTTGGACAGCCAATCATTTACGGTCACATCAAAAGATTCTGAGAAACCTGGGAATTGGCTTTGCGCAACAATGGATGAAGCTGAAAATCAATACTGGATGACCACCAGCTTCATATTTGACCGTTTAGGGGAGATTTTGGGGCCTTGAAAACATGCACATCTGGAAAGCCACCACCAAGACAACATACACCCCCCCCCAACCACCACCAGCAGCTGGTCTCTTCAGCACCCAGATGTTCAGACTGTCCTTAAAAGTATAGAAGTTACAGAAGAAACCGTTTAAAGGCCTAAGGAACACACTGATGCTATCAAATTCAGAATAGAAATACTATTTTTCATGTCACTGTAAAATGAATACGATTCATCAGTTGATGTTTTGTTCTGGTCATCAACATTCTGAGTTTAAGGTTCCTTCTAGTTTAGACGGAGCCCTAAAAGCTGGAGGAAATATTTTTCTAAAGACCTGCAGGGGAAACCCCACAGCACCTCAGAGATGACCGGACTCAGTCTGAGGGGTGGCTCGATGTGAGGGCGTGCGCGTGCGCGCGCACACACACACACACACAGACACACAAGTCAAGTGATTTACCTCGATCGGAAATGTTATGCAAAACGGATAATGGAGGCTTTGTGCACCTGCCGGCCACAGACCGCAGCCAGCGCGGACTCTGACACAGATAGAGTTTGGCAGCTCGGGGAGGATGAGCAGCACTCAGACGCCTTCCAGACGCTTTGTGACCCCCTCCAGGGCCACGGTGCCGTGCTCCTCTGCGGGTTTATTGTCTTATTTGTTATCACACAGAAGATCCTAAAATACTAACTCGTGTAAAGTTCACTAGTGGGGAATTGTTGGACTTGTGCGCCGTGGAATCTTTCCATAACGGGAGTTTTGATTCATTTTTGAGTAGGGGGGCTACGTAAACAGTTTAAACGTTGCAGATGGTTTTTATTTTAACTCTAACATAAGTCGATTTGGTTTCATTCACAAATATCGAGCCATGGATTACAAAACCCAGAACCTGTAAGCTCTGTATCGCGGCACTTGTCTCTGAGACACTGTTGCGCCATGAGACAATAACTCCTGAGACTAATCCCACTAACCTGCATCTGACAGCACAGCCAGAGCGATCACCAATAAAATCAGCATGTCTCGTCGCCGCAGCAGTAAATCCAAAAACATATATCGTTATGGGGGAACAAAAACTGCGCAGAAAGAGTCGCCGAGGGCTTTATCCACGAATCGAGAGCGCACGGATCTCATCCACAATGGCAAAAAAAGTTTTGAAAAAACAAAAACAAAAACAAAAACAAAACAAAAAGGCAGACAAGTGCGTGGGGCTCAGATCCCGTGTGGACTTTCTCTTTCACTCAGCAGCGATCCGTTGAGGCGGTAACGACCCGGTGGCGTGAGGGGGCAGCATGATCCCGGACGGTCCCGCTGAGGGAGGAAAAGAGCATCCGCCGTGGAGGGGGATAAAGGAACCGCTCTGGCCAGCTCGTCTGCAGCTCCGGGACCTGCAGCCTGTTTCATTTCCCCGCAGTGCGAGTCCGCAGCCGCCCGCGCATCTATTTCTAAGGAGCACTGGGAGGTTGTGTAGTGACAGCGCCGAGCTGCGGCTCCGCCTCTGCGCGCATCACCACCCCCCCCCACCCCCAAACCCTCCACCCGACTTAAAGGAACATTCTAGTGTTTGGGATCTCCTGGATCCAACTCCTGATGCAAACCTCCAAACACAGAGTCCTCAGTGTGTGTGTCTGTGTTTGTTTTTTCAAATTAAAATTGCAAATGTGTTACCTATTTTCATTCAAGTGAAGCAGAAAGGATTTTGCAGGGCCCAAAGTGTCTCCCACAACATATGCAGGGCATCTGATATTAAATGATACCGATTCAATTATCAGCAGATGAATTCATATGGGGAAAAAATAGTTCTTATACACAAAACATCAGTGTGTGCTGTGAACATTGACATAATTAATGCTGGAGCAATGCGATTTCCTTTTGTGAGTTTGTGCCATACTTTTCAACTCAACTAAAATATGAACTTAAACGTACACAATAACATTGAATAAGTAGACATTTTAACGTTTTAAAGATTTGGCAAAATGCATTGTTTCATCTTGTAAATATTTGGCTCTTTGCGATTGATTGACAGAAAGTTAGCTGGTGGCAAATTAGTGATATAACAAGTCACAGACAATTTTACAACCCTGTGGCATTTAGTTCCTGCTACACACGTTTTGACAACAGTGTACATACACTGTCCCCTGTGACATTTTGCGTTTTTACCTGCATCTTGGTCTTCTATGTTTGCAGGTCAAACAGTTGTAAAAAAAAAAAAAAATTCAGCACACCAATTACAGACAAACATGTCTGCAATGCATTTTAAAAGTGAACCGGTCGTTCTTTTTTCCTAATGCCAGGTCAAAGTTCAGGTTCAAGGTTTGAAATCTGCATCCTTACTGGCAGATGTCACTATGGAGAAATGTAAAATGTGAGGAAAAGAGAACCTTTCAGTTTCAGCCGCATTTACACCATGATGCATGGGCTTACGTCATGTTTGGGGTGGTTTATGTGCTCGACGTCTGGGCTTGTGTGACATGAGCGTGTCAGAACAAACAGCGACCTCTGTCAGGGGAGATGTCCCGTCTGTCTGGGAAGGCTGGAGGATGACGAAGAGTTGAAGGTGTTGACCCTACTCCTCCTCTCCAGCTGGAAGAATCTGTCGTTTGACACACTCACTCACGGCGTAGCATCAGAGGTCGGGTGGAATCCATGACTCAACGGGTCAAAGGAGTCTCGTTGAACTGAGGGGGGGGGGCTGGGCGTGTGGTAAAACGAAAACTCTCGGCTCTGATAATATACATCTGGTTTGTACTTGACCCCTCGATTAATGTGGCAGACCAGTGAATCTCAATGAAAATAGGCCCCTCGGGTACTTAGATCCAACTTCAATGGACAATTCAAGATTTTCCGCCTTGGTTTAAATGGTTGTTGTTAGAAAAAAAACAAAAGGTAAACCTTGTCTGATCCAGAAGGATGGATAATATGCATCTCCACTGATTACACGTATGGAGAAATGACTAGCTGCCTTTTCAGAGAAGTAAAAACTGAAAACTTCTGACTGGCTGTTCCACAAAATGATGCTCCCTGAGCTGCTGACGCATTTCAAGGTGCACCGATGAGTTGATCTGCAGAACAGGCCGTTTCTTCTTCAAGTTCTTGACGTCCATTCAAAATTGGTGGAATACGCAGGCCAATAAACTTCAGTCTGTTCTCCAGCGGAGCGCCTGGGCTAAATAATGGCTGTGCAGAGGTCCAGAGGAGGGGGGAGAATGGCTGGCGAAGTTTTTCATAAAGTCGGGGGGGCTCATTTGTGCTTCAAAACCAGCTTTGATAGCAACAGGTAGATCCTAGAAGCGACTGAATTTGATTTCCATTTGTGACCGGGCATTAGAGCTCCCCCCAGTGCTTGGTGATGATACAGACGACTGTACATTACAGATGTTAGAAAAAAATGATTCCTCCGGCTCATGCCCCATTTGTTGAAGCTCCGGTGAACACAGCATGGCTTTGGCTTCTCTGTCTGCTTTGTAAATTGGACCATGACCTGCTTTTTTGTGCTCCTGACCCGTGTCCAATAAGCACTGAGCCAAGTTAAACTATCTTACCTGTTTCACTTTGTTCCCGATTCAGTGAGCGGGCCTGCTCTCAGTGAACATGACAACCTTGTTCTTTCTCAGGGATTTAAGCTCTTCTAAATCACGTTTCCAGTCTTTGCACTAAACTAGGCAAACATCCTGCTGGCCGTAGCCTTCACCCGGCCGGCGGAGACGAGCGCTGGCCCACAGATCCTCCTCGGCTTTGGCAAGAAAGTTCAGTGTGCCAGGGGGGTCACCGAGCTAAATTGAGCTAATTGACACTAAATCAAACTTACAGCTGAGACCGATGGGAATGTTACTCTGTTTTTCAGGTCATACACCAAAGTAATGGGTAGATTAACTTTGCCAATTCTAAAAATGCGTTTCGCACACAGTCGGTTGGGTTTTTGAGGCCGGTTCATCCTTTCTGCGGGCCCTCTTAGCGCTCCTCCGCGGGCTTCAAAGGACTCTCTCCGGCAACAGACTGGAAAAGTCCGCATGGCCTCTTTAACAAAGCCGACTTCCTCCGAATGACGTCAGCAAGTCTAATGCCGCAGGAGTAAGTCTCACAAATGGCCCATCCAGTGTAACGAATTTGAATGCCAAATAGATAACTGCAAATATGTGCACGTTCAGTGACTTTGAAGAAAGTGAGGTTGAGAACAAAGACAAAAAAAGAGCCCAGAGCAAGAATTCAAGATGCCAAGTTATTTGGTCTGTGTCTTTGGTTGCATTACCATTTAATTTATTTTCTAATATTTCACCCATTTGCGGTAATTCTATATTTTCCCATTTTTTCCCTAGTTTGCTTTTTTTAGATCTCCAAACACTTTAAAAAAATATATTTGTAAAGTTTTCAGACCTTTATGGTAATTTGATTTCTTTTACACAACATAATGCAGTTTTCTGTGCAACCTTAACTGACTTTATGGCACCCACTGGCAACAACTTTTTTTACACGTCGATTGTCTTTCAACCCAGTTATCGCTGAACCTGATCTGAAGCACAGCATGACCCCTGACCACATCTGTGGCCCCAGGCTTTTTCTGAATACACTCACACACAATGTCTCTATTCTATATTTGACAGATGGACGGGTTAATTACCAGCTGGGAAACTCAGAGGGCCAGGTTAAAGTGAATGGACCTGGTGATGCAAGAACACAAATATTTCAAACACGCAAAATTCTGGAACGACGTCGTGGGTATTTTCTAACAAGGACCAGACAATTGCTGTAGGATGTTAGATGTTTATTTATCATTTCAGGTTCGAACCTGTCTGATACTTCGACAACTTTGACAGGTGAATGCTTCAAATGTGAGATCATTCAATTGTTTGTGACGGAAGAGGAAGAACTCTCCAGACAGAAAGCAAGCCTGACCCAGGTGTGACAGACATATTACTTTTCTTTCCAAAGCAGGTCAAAGATGTCAATCAGTGAATTATCGTGTGGGGGTTGTGTCAAAATGGCAGAAACAGAACTACAAGTTAGTTCAACTAAAGGTAGATTATAACAGCAACAATGATGCTATTTAGACTTAGGCCCAAAACACATGCATTATATCTTTAATTAGAAATGTAAAAACTCATCTTATTATACACATAATCATGACCTAATAGGGAAAGAATGCCCTTAGAGTGTGAGGAAAAGCAGATGGTTTATAAAAAAATATTAAATTACCTGAAAATTCGACCAAACTTGGGAATACAGATGGATTAAATCTAGCAAAAAAATCTAAATTTAGAATTAACGAGAGGACCATGACGCTTTCCCATTTCATCTGGCGAATATCAAAGTCTGTAAATATGGATTTCTGTCCAGTAAAGTAACAGTACAGCCGCTGCAGTGTGGGCCTCCGGTCGCTGGGTGGCGCTGTCTGACACTAGCGCACTCCAGCGGAGGTCGGTGTGTTCTACTTCCTCTCGGCGGTAAAGCGTGCTTCTGGTTGTTGCAAAGCTCAAACGTTACTGTGACGAAGCCGAACTCTTACCATCCCTGGTTATTATTTAATCGGAGCTCAAAATGGTGAGTAAACATTAAAAACACCAACCTTTAAAATCCGTGAACTCTGAATAAGATTATTTTGATTTGCGCAGCTCTTTGACGGTACTTAGCCTATTAGCTGGTTAGCATTAGCCCCGTTAGCTTCTCATTCATCTTGAGCTGAATCAATGAAACCCACAGATACATATCTTATAATGTGATGGGCATTTCCCTACATGATGTTTATTCAAGTGGCTCTCCTTTCTTTTGCTTACATATTGAGTAAATACGTGGCATGCCACATTCTACGTTTGATCGAACGCCTTACCAGGCTTCATTGTAAAAACTGCTAATTTAACCGACATGTTAAATTGCCAAAGAAACTAATTGGTCTGGGCTACCCATAGGAAATCTCATCGTGAAACATTTAGAAAACTACCCGTATGGTGGCTGCTATACCATATAACAGTTTACATATCTCAAAACTTGTTTTGTAACCTGTGTTTTCATATTCCGCAGAGTTTACCTCTGAACCCAAAGCCTTTCCTGAACGGCCTAACAGGAAAGCCTGTGATGGTGAAACTGAAGTGGGGAATGGAGTACAAGGGCTATCTAGTGTCTGTGGATGGATACATGAACATGCAGGTTAGATCCGCATCTGCCTTATCACCTACGTCACCTATACTCCAAGCATGTTGAGTTTCATCCTGCTGCGGAAGAAATATTAACAATTCATATTAACCCCAAACTTAACTTTTTCATTAATTCAACAGTTTTAGAATACAGGGACATGATCTGTCATTTCATTATATAAAACTAATTATATTAATCCTTAATTTCTGAAACAACATTGCTGTATTTTGGTTCTTGAGTTTAATATTTAGGAGGTTCTAACTGGCTACTATGTGCTCAGCTTTCATAAAAATACACAACGTTAGTGTAAATGTTCATTTTCATTTCGACTTCAGATAAATGCAGGACAGACTTTTTTGCCACACTTTAAACTATTAATGCCCGGACGGACAATGCACAGCCATTAGGATGACCTACTCATTTCAGGCTCGACTAAGAGATTTGTGAACAAGGTTTTTAGAGGGAATATAAGCCATAATAAGAGATCCTGGCATGTTGCAGCTTTTAAGCCTCAGCTCTCGTCTGTCTGTGCACGACTAGCCTGTGAACTACTTTTTTTCCCCCACTCTTTATTCCTGTCAATAACAACTCCTGACCTATGACTGACTTACTCCATCGACACATCAGCAACACTTTTTAAACCATATTTCAACACTCGCTTTGGCTGCCGTCTTAGTTGCATTTTGATCCTGTTTGAAGTAGACAAAAATCTCATGTGGAAAGGAAATCTTCCACGAGCTCAGTGAACTGAATACGCTACTGACCAAAGTAATCATGACCGACTTCCCCCCCGTAACCGAGCGTAGCCAAAATGGGGTCAAAGGTTAAATTGAGCACGGAAAGCGTCGCTCTCTTGTGGAGTATCTGCGATAATGAAAGAAAGCATCTGACTGCTTGTTTCCATGGGATTTTTGACCTTTTCTTTTTGCATGATTTCTGGCAGCTGGCAAACACAGAAGAGTACGTGGACGGAGCGTTGGCGGGTCACCTCGGTGAAGTGCTCATCAGGTGTGTACACCTCCACACAACTGGAGTCCAATTTGATTTAGAAGCTTTTTAAAAAATAAAAGATCTCCAAAACTCATTTAACATAAAAAAACTCGGCTAAACATGTTCAACTTCTCAAAGGTGGTTTTGAGAACGCTGTGTTTCAATCCTCACAGGTGCAACAACGTTTTATACATCCGGGGCGTAGAAGAGGAGGAAGAAGATGGAGAAATGAGAGAGTGATGCAGGTGGAGGAGTGAACCTCGTAGTGGACTGTCTGTGGGTGTGCGTGCGTTTTCACCATGTGAAACATTTTGAACGTGTCGGGTTTTGGCTATTTTTCAGGCAATTTTGAAACATTTTCTTCCTTTTTTCTTTTTTTATTACTGTATGCAAGTCAAGTTTTATGTTGTGAAACAGACACAATAAAACAATTATTGTATCATTTCTTAAACTGAATTTTTGTGCTTTTCATCCAACCCAACCCCCCCCCTTTTTTCCCCTAGTGTCTCTTCTCGTGAGACTTGAATTTTTGTGAAACGAACCCCTCCTACCGGTGCACTTTAAACTCTCGGGCAAATATTTACCTGGTTTTCCAACCTGAAATGCAGTAACTTCTGAAGTCGCTGCCACAAAAGGAGTCAAAATGTCCAGAAACTACAGGCTGCTGGTGGAAAACGCCAAGCAGGTGGTTTTGATCTGTAACAATGGAGAGAAGTTCCTGACCAAAATGGGCATGCAAAACCTTTGCATCATCGAAAATGGAAGCGTGGTCATCGGAACGTGAGTCTTTTAGAGGAGTGTTGAGGATTTGCACATTTTGCTGGTTTAAAAAAAAAAAGAAACAATGTCTGATTAGGCAATTCCAATAATCGAATCCTTCCTTAAACTTTAATTTTTGGTGGAAATATAGTCAAAATGGTTTAATCATAAAATGTTTTCATGCTGCACATTGGTGCCCCAATGAGGACATAATAGCTAACTACATATAAAAGTAAACCTGAACATGAACATGTGCTTTTGAATTCTATTCATTGCTTATCACCAGGTAAAAGTTGAAGAGGAAACCACATTTGTTCTCAATAAGGGTTTACTTCAGTTTTTTAAGGTTGTTTTTCTATCTTTTTTTTGTATTGTTAATTCAAGTATTTATATTTGAATTCTACGCCATCTCTCCACTCAGAGACGGGCTCATTAAAGCTGTAGGGCCGGCAGAAACTATCAGAGCTCAGTATTCGGAGTCTTCCTTTGAACGAGTGATCGACGCCACGGGGATGTGCGTCCTGCCTGGTGAGTATCAGCTCAGGTTGGTGTGGACGCGTTCCGCAGAGGTTACGGTTCTTTTTAGGAGACACTAATGGGAAACAAACCCCCTCAGGAGCCCTGTAAACGCACAGTTAGACGCATGATTTTGTTTTCATTTTCACATGGCCACAATACAAACCAATGGCATAATGTAAAAAAAAAAAAAAAAAAGTTGTAAACTGCGGTATCCCCCTTCGATGGGGCTCCACAGGGCCAGGGAATGTGCGCGGTTTAAAGGTCAACGTACATCAAGGCAAGGCAGAGACGCAAATTCTTAAGATCCACCAACTTCAGGAGCTGATTTTTCAAAAGCTCAAGCCTCCATGGTGAACACCCGTTCAGCTTTTAGGATGACCTGACGAAGCTCTTGTAGTTCAGGGGATTGGCTGTCCTTTCCAGGCTAAACGTTCCTGGTTTCGGCTCCCTCTCTAAGCACCACATTCCCACATTTTCCCGCCACTGTGCTCCTCATTCCAAGTTCAGCTATGCTCTCGGTTCTTTGCGCTACCATTGAAAGCCTTTACCACAGCTTATATTCTGTTATTTCCATGTCGGTCATAGGCATTTAAAAAACTGTTTCCTCAGGATTGGTTGACGCTCACACTCATCCAGTCTGGGCCGGGGACAGGGTGCATGAATTCGCTATGAAGGTACAGCAACTCGCCGGGGAATATACCCCGACCCTCCGAGCTTCTTCTGATTCCGTGCTGACTTCCAATGTGGCCCGCTCGCAGCTGGCGGGCGCCACCTACATGGAGGTCCACCGGGCCGGCGGCGGCATCCACTTCACGGTGGAGCACACCCGGGAGGCCGGCGCCGCGGCCCTGCTGACCTCACTGAGCGGCCGGCTGGCCAGGATGCAGCGGGCGGGCACCACGCTGGTGGAGTGCAAGAGCGGCTACGGGCTGGAGCTGCAGACGGAGCTCAAGATGCTGCAGGTGATCCAGGAGGCCGGACGCTCGCTGCCCATCGCCATCTCCTCCACCTACTGCGGAGCCCACGCCGTCCCAAAGTGAGAGCCCCTCTGCTTCTGAGTGAAATCCAGAAATGTTCATCCGTCCGTGTTCGTAACCACTTATTCCCTGAAGGGGTCACGGGAGGGTGGGGGGACTGGAGCCTATTGCAGTAGTCAATGGGCGAGAGGGGGGGGTACACCCTGGACGGTACGCCAGTCCATGGCAGGGCCACACAGAGACACACAAGGACACACAGTCGCTCACACTCACTACTAAGGGCAATTTGGAATGTCCAATCAACGTAACATGCAGGTTTTTGGACGGTGGGGGGAAGCCAGAGAACCCACGCAGACACAGGGAGAACATGCTAACTCCACCCAGAAAGGTCCTGGTTCCCTCCGCGGACTCTAACCCAGAACCCTCCATACAGAAAGGTTCTGGTTCCCCCTGGGACTAGAACCCAGAACCCTCCACTAAGAAAGGTCCTGGTTTCTCCTGGGACTAGAACCCAGAACCCTCGACAAAGAAAGGTCCTGATTCCCCAGGACTTGAACCCAGAACCCTCCAAACAGAACCCAGAACCTTCTTGCTTGTGAGGCGACGGTGCTAACCACCACACCACTGTCACCGAAATCTCGAAATAGAATGATAAAACCCCCCCCCCCTTCCTCCCCCCCTCTCAGGGGGAAGACGGTGGCGGAGGCCACAGAGGACATCCTGCGTGTCCAGCTGCCCCGGCTGAAGGAGCTGATGTCCGGCGGGAGGCTCAGGGTGGACAACATCGACGTGTTTTGCGAGCGGGGGGTGTTCGACCTGGGCTCCACTCGAGCCATCCTGCAGGCCGGCAAAGACATGGGCCTCAACATCAACTTCCACGGAGATGAGCTCCATCCCATGAATTCTGCTCAGGTATCGCTCGCTCCCCGAGAGCTCTGCCCACTATTTTCCTACCCCCCACTTTCCCCGTCCGCGGCAGAGATTCACCTTTAGCCCTTAATCTTTGAGGGGCGATAACGTTAATATAAATGAACGTGTGTCAGCTGGGGGCCGAGCTCGGAGCGTTGGCCATCAGCCACCTGGAGGAGGTCACGGACGAAGGGATCACCGCCATGGCCGAAGCAAAGACAGCCGCCGTCCTCCTGCCGACTACAGCTTACATTCTCCGGTATTGTCATCCCCCTGACACACACACACACCTCTCCAGGTGACCATGATGAAGTGTGTGGTGGTGTTTATGTTTGTTTTTTAGTTATGCATTTAGCAGACGCTTTTATCCAAAGCGACTTACAAAGTAGACACACTGGTCATCCATCATGACATGCAGGAGTCAGAGACAGGGATCCAGTCTGGATGTGAATATTGTGGTGTATGGTTGGTTTTGGAAAATAAGCAGTTCACATTAAGCTAGAGGTGATGGGCTTTCATCCATTTTGATGTGTGCGTTTAGGCTGCCCCAGCCTCGGGCCAGAGACATGCTGGAGGCCGGCGTGATCGTGGCCCTCGGCAGCGACTTCAACCCCAACGCCTACTGCTGCTCCATGGTGAGTGTGAGCAGGAGGAGGGCGGGAGGTGTGCGCCCCGGCCCTCTCGCTCCTCCTCCTCCTCTCCAGCAGTGGTTCTCCTCCCCAGCCCATCGTCATGCACCTGGCCTGCGTCAATATGAGGATGTCCATGCCGGAGGCCCTGGCCGCCGCTACCATCAACGCGGCCTTCGCTCTGGGCCGCTCGCACACGCACGGCTCCCTGGAGGTCAACAAGCAGGGCGACCTGCTGGTGCTCAACGCCGCTCGGTAAAGACACTCGTTTACAAGTTTTTAGAGGCGTCGCGTGATCTTTTAATGTGTGGAACAGCGGGTTGGAATAAGGATGCTCCCATCGGGGGTGGAATGGGTCTCACGCCAGCTGGTGGACTTTTCCTTTTCTTTTTAAACACAGCTTTTATTTTTCTCCATCAGTCATTCTGGTTATTTTAGCAATTCTTCCCATATTACAGCTGTTTTACAAGATTCAACGCACCAGAACCATATAATTTGTGTTATTATTAAAGAACAAATTTCTTTCATTGTATGTAAATATAATTTAGATTTTTTTTTTCCTTTTTGTATGGTTATATCAATCTTGACCCGGATGTTGGTCTTTGCGTTTGACTGAAAGATGGGAGCACCTGATTTACCAGCTGGGCGGCCACCAGGAGATCATCCGATACGTCATCATCAGAGGCAACGTCGTCCACGACAACGACAAAACTTTGGGTTTGTAACTGGGAGAGAACTTCCCCCAAGGTACGTCCATAAATACAGCACAGTTTCAGCTCGGGTTTTGACCGTTTTAGAAATAGAAAAAAAGACTCTCTTGAACCAACCAATCATGGCAGGTTAGGAGTTTGAATGATTTTGTCATGCTACGCCAGTAAAAAGAATCTCAAGTCATCACAGAAAGAAAAAAAAGACAAACATTTTTGAAGATGTTCCTTTATTCAATGTGTTAGTACACAATACTTATTGGATTTTCCACAGGCATGGCTTAAGACAGTAAGATCATATAAGCAGTGCTTCTTCTCCATTCTGGTTAGTAACAGACCCATCCTCAAATACAGTTATGTAAAAGACTACAATGTCATTTAAAAACTTATTTTCTTCAGTTTTTTTTAATTAAATCGTACAAAACTACTTTAAACGCTATTCACAACAATAACTGAGTGCGTAGATGTAAAAAAAAAATCTGAGTGGCACGTGTGATAACTGGCTTATTTTTCCTACTATAAAAAAGGAACAAAGTTGTGTTACATTATGTACCTAAGCCCATCTGACACCACAGCCGGCCCTCTCAGGCTTCGTACTTCTTCCCAACTCGGTGAATCTGTTGGTATAGTGTCATGGAGAACGCCATGCCGAGCAGCTGGAAGAATTAATGGAACGTTTATTTAGATCTATGTCATTTCACTGGATTAAAGTCGGGAAAAAAAAGGAAAGAAAACTGCTCACCTGTACCACCAAAACACACATGGCAATGGTTCCCATAAGGTGTTTGTTGTCATCCAGCCACCCCTCAAACTTCTGATAACAACCCTAAAAACAAGCACGTTGATCGTGCAACCTGAGTTATTGTTATTACAGAGGATGAACTGATTAAAAAAGTGTCAATTGAATAAATATTTAATACAGACTTCTAGGCAGCATTAAGTTCAAATTTCAAAACTCTCTATTGAGGCAAATTTCTTGGGAAACTTCTCACATACAGGACTGTGCTCCAAATTCAAACTAAAGCGTTTTTTCAAGAGCTAAACAAAAAAGAAAGGAATTGGTTTTTAACGTTGTTTACCTGGAGCATCGGGCCACTTTGGAGGTGTGAAACAATTAAGACACGATTACTATTGCCTATTTCATGGAAACAAACCCCCTTTGAGCCCTGAAAATATTCACCTAGACAGCCACCAGCTTCTCCAGTGTTGCCTTAAATTCATGAAGACAATACCCATCTGAGCATGTCAACACAGCATGGTACAAAGGGGCCCGTGTGGGTAGAACTGACTGGAAATGCGCTCACCTCATTTTTTTGTTTTTTTGGTCTTTTCGCAGGCTTAGCTGACGGGAAGAAATATCTGATTCGTAAATTCGCGACTCACGTGCTTCCAGAAGGCGTTTGAGGCGTTGCGACCGCAGCCCTGATACACCAGCTGGCAGCAGCTGTCGGGAACCATGCTCTCGTGCAGGGCAGTGTACCAGTCACTGTGGGTCAACACGCCACAGCAGCTCCACTGGCAAGAAAAAAACGAGTTAGTTCGATTACAACGTCCACCATACGCTGACTCAGAACTAAGAAATAAAAACGATTTAAAAAAAACTTTTGTGCCGTTTGTCGGAAACGTACATCTCTCTGTATGGTGTTCCACGCATCCCTCAAGCCGGCGTTATTTTCAGTGCCGTACAGCACCAGGCCTTCCTTCAAGTCCCGTCTGGCATTCTCTCTCACCTGGAGAGATTATTGGACCGCGTTAACGTGTAAGCCGAATTAAGGAGACGTCGTCGTCTTGTCAAACACGAGGGCGGCCTTACTTTGTCAGTGTAGACGAAGAACAGAATGAGGAGGATGAGCTCAGCCAAAAGGATGATCAACAGAACAATGAAGAACTGGGAAATGAACGGAAAAAAATGTCAAATCGGACAGGCAGCGCTGGGGGCACCCGGGGGTGGGAATGCATTGTGGGTACTGTAGTGCACTCACGCTCAGCAGCAGGCACTTGTTCTCCTTGATTGCACCCAAACAGCCCAGGAAACCCGTCACCATGACGACGGTGCCCAGGATGATGATGAGGTTGGCGGCGGAGAGCGAGGGGAAGGAGGGCGACAGGGTGGCGAAGCTGCCCTGAGAAACCGACAGCCACACGCCGACACCCAGCAGTCCACAGCCGCCCAGCTGGAAGGCACACAGGAAGCGGTCAAACTTCCTGCCCAACTTCACGATCGCAATCTTCCACACCGGTTCATGGTAACAATCACTTAATGTGTGCGGGGCAATTACCCAGAAGAGCAGGTTGAAGAGGAACAGCATGTATTTGACGCAGCAGATGCAGCCGCGGGCCATGATTGGGCAGAAAAGAACTGCAAAAAAACATGTTTACAAAGACTGTTAATAATTTACACTGCGTAGACAAGCTGAATGCACAACGCGCCAAGGATGGGATGAACGTACCGCTACAACAGGCAGGAGAACACGGTCAGATGCTCTGGGAGAGTATCTACAAGACAAGCATGTAAAGATTTTTATGCTCACTTTGCAACAAAGTCTTCTCATTTTGAGACAGAAACAAAAAAAACTCAAATAAACGGTTCATTTTTGTTGAACACGTACATAAATGTAATTCAAATGTCAATATAAACGGAACAGAGCATTTTGAGAATCTCAGAATAGTTTTTTTCCACACTTTAAAATAGAGAAAACATGTAAAATTGTCACCATCCAGAAACCAAAGGGGTGGAGATTAAGTGTAACAAGCGCGACAGCTCAGTAATGGGAGTTTATGGGAGAAGAGCACCCCAGAAGGGCAGAGTCTCTCAGAAGTAAACAAGGATTACGACCAGGAATCTGCAAAATTATAAAATTCCCTTACAAATAAGGCCTGACTGTCTGTAGGCTTATGCAGCATCCTTGAAAGCTATTGAAATATCAAAACCACCCCCCTCTTCCTTATGGACATTTAGGGGAAGGAAAATATGCCCCCCACAAAATTTAGGGCACTTATAGTAGTGGTGGAAGCTTTGCACCTGGAAAAATTCCAGAAGACCAAATCAACTTTAAGCATGCAGAGTATTAATCATGAAAAAAATGTTTTATTTTTTTAACCTGGGCCACCGTGGACATAGACGATGTCCTACACAACAACATCAACAAAGCCCTGTGGTTTCATGCACAAGCAAGTTCTCTCGACACTGTCGACTTCATTCACCCGTTTGAAAGGCTCGTTCCAAGGCTAATAAAGGCCACCGGAAGCGGGTTTATTTTCTAGTCTAAAAAGTCTGAATTCGATATTGTCAGAGATTTGAATTGGGAAGCACACAAATTCAAGACCTGGAGTGACGTCACAGGTGGAAAACCTCCGTTTTTCGGCCGGGTCGAAAAGTTTACGCAGAAAACTGACGTAAAAAAGTGAATAAATAAATAAAAGGCAACCGACCGCCAACTTTTAAACGATTTATCCCCCCCTACAACAACGGTATCGGCTTAAAGTCCAACGAAATCGTTTCTTTCCCCCCTTGCGCCCTGGGGTCATGATTGTTTCCATGTTCCATGCTGTTGGAAAAGTGACGAAGAAGAAAGAGAGCGCGCGGCGGTGTGGGCTCAGTTTCCTACCGTCTGCTACAAACTGGAGCTCATATCGTCTCTAGTGACGTTTCGCCCGCAGCACCTCGCATTTTAAGTCGGAAAAACTCCAGTTGTTGCAAACTGCGACGCTGCCTTTCAAGTTTGGTCGACGGCTGGAAATGAGGAGGAGGAGGAGAAGGAGGGAGGATGTTTTCTCTGGAAAGGGCGGAGCACTGGCTGCAAGCACGGAACTGGGTTGGCGATAAGCGTAGAGCCGTGGGAGAGGAGAACCGGAGCAGGACCCAGGACAGGAACAAAGCCCCAGCCGTGTAAAAGTGAGCCGAGGTGATTTTTCGATAAACTCTCTGTTTCCCCGGTGAATAAAACGAGTCTACCCCAGTGGCCGAGTCGCGTAATTAAACTTTTACAAGTAACTAATACGACTCGTATAACTTCACAATAACTCAAAAATATAGTCTCTATATTTTTAAATATACCATCACAATGGTAAAATAAATCCCAAAGTCCATAGCTACATATTGCCAGTTACATTAGCAATTACTTTCTGAACAAAATGATTGGTTTAATTCACAAAATCGCTGTCCTGTGAGATTTAACCAATAACAGACCGAAACAAATATACGCGATATTTTTCAACTATTCGGCAATTCTACTATATGACGAAATTCAACACAACTCCCTCCACCTCAGATTTATGCCTTCCCTTTCGGGGAAAACATGTTTTAAATAAACCACTGCTCCACTGGGCGGATGTAGAACCCCATAGAGTAAAATAACTGACAAACATAACACTTCAGACACAGGGGGTTATTTTATTGCAGAATGGGGTCACTTTAGAACTAAGAGTATTCGTTAGCTGAGTATTAATATTTGTTTGAGCTGAAAACTATTATGAAAGCAAAAGTTTTATGGAGTGCTTTAGCTTTAAAATGAAATTAAATATGAAAGGAGTAGTGTTTTTAAGTGGTGCAAATACATAGAAAGGTTTTGAATACAGTTTCTTATAATCTAAAGAACACAAACTTCTCTGAATAATACTCGCTGTTGTCTTCAACACCTAACACTAACTAGTTTTTCATCCTATTTGCACCTCCTATTTAAAAAAGTTTCTGCAGGAAAGTAATATGTAAATAGCATAAACAGTAGCAAAGAAAATAATTATTACCCAAATTAAACTTTTATTTAAAAAAAAGCCACCTTTGTGGAAGATCGTACTGAATGAACTTCAAATGTCCACACGTGAATCCCCAAAGCTAAACGGAGCTTTAATAAAGATAATTCATCATAACATTATTATAAATACATGACTCTCAACAGAAATGACCAAATGAAATACAAAACATACAAAAACATGTTGCCCCCCGGCTGAACATCCAAGGTGTGTCTTCCCATGTGTTTGAGGGGTTTTAGGAATAAAAGCCAGTGTCCGGTGATCAGACTGTCCTCTAAAGGGGATTTCTGACACACACATCCTCAGTTATTAAGCTCACTGTCATTCTAGATATTTCTTTATCCCAGGACCCATCGGTCAGACTTGGAGGAGTTGAGCTGCACAGACTCGCTGCTGTCTCCGTCCTCGTGCTGGGACACAGACATCCAATCAGATTAAGGAGCCACGCATACATATACGCAAACAGTATATTGGTTTGTAATTTTATGAAGAGAAATGGCAAAAGATTTGCTAAAGACACACATCATAGAATTCGTTTGAAGATGTTTTTAAGTGAAAAAAGATGGCCGGTGCCCACCTTGTTGGCGATGGCCCTGAGTTTTCCCAGCAGGGAGGGTTTCTGGGTGTAGACGACGTCGTCATCGGGCTCCTCTCCTTCGGTCAGGCCACAGCTGTCAGCAGCTGGCAGCTCGCACTCTTTGTTGGCAGACATCACCAGACGGGAGTACTTGTACTCCAACCTGGTCGCAGACCGCAAAGGCTGAGTCACCATGATGCGGCAAATTATTCAGCAGAGGCAGCATCTAAAAGAAGCTCCTTTTTTTGGTTTGTTTTTTAAAACCACAGATGACAGATTCCTTTGACTCAGCATCTGAGAAAAAAAAAAAGCTCCTCACTGTACTTTAGCCACCACCATAGTCCAGTCTTTAACTTAAAAAAAAAAAACTTATTATATTATAATCCATTTAAAAAACTTTATTTGGTGGAAAATGCATTTAAGAAGAATGTTTTCTTTGTGAGGGAATTTGATATAATCTAAAATAATGTCAAATATGTCTGCAACTTGATATCTATAATGTCTTCTTGATCTGAATTTTTTATTTCATTCTTATTTTAAGTTTATTCCAGTAATATTAATACTATCATATTTACGACTGTTCTCTCTTCAATTTTCAGTTTTAGACCCTTCTTGTAATTTGTCTTCACAGTTGACTCAAATTTACCAGCTTCTTTGTCATTCTTGCCTCAAAACACTAACAAATGACAGATTCAAAATAAATTGCGACAAACAGACTATAGCACTCTAAACAGTCATTACTGCCTTTAGCTCCCCTTGCAGCCGCTGACAAACAGGTGCTGACATCTTTAACTGTAAATAACATCTCGGCCTGATCTTAACGGGCGTGCCGGGCTGCACTGGGACTCATCGCGGTGAGCGGAGTCGGCCTCTCACCTCTTATTTTTCTTCCAGAAATAGCAGGTGAGGGAGACAAGCAGCACGGCGACGAAGGCCCCGCCCCCGAGCCCCACCTTCAGCCACAGAGCGATGGCCTCGCAGTGGGACGAGCTTCGGGGAGGCAGCGGCACGCCCTCGGTGCATGACTTTGGCTCGTTCCACACGTACAGAGTTTCCTGCAATGACGGTAGTTTCACTGAAAAGACTCTTTGTTTTTGATTGGACGCGCTAACCAGTGGCTATTTTCGCTTTAAGGTGACTTAAGTAACTAGCAGAAGCTGGTGGACGCCAACACCGCTGTAAAAGAGCCTAAACCAGATCACACTACCGCACGGGTTTGCTGATGTGGTTTCTTTCTGTTTTACCTGGACCCCTCCCTTGCACGCCCCCTCTATCTGATGGTAGTCGTCCTCGGTGCAGCGTGGACAGGCGCTGGCGCTCTCCCACAGGAAGTGAAAGGTGCACCCGTCACATGTTCCTGCCGGGCAGGAGCTGCACAAACACACATGGGTCAGTTTGCATGGACACTTCTCTTTTTCTCTCAAGTTTGGATGAAATCAATTTGTAGGTTTACGAACAAAAAGCCCAAAAATTTGTGGATTTGAATAAGCAACAAAAAAAAGAGAGAATGGACTGGATTATTTGATCATTGTAAAAGAGATAATTGTGAACCAAACCAATTATTGATGAAAATGCAAAAACTCAACCCAAAAAAAAAAAAAATTAATAATAATAATAATAAAATAAAAAAAAACTGAACCCAAAAAGGATAAGTTTTTTCCCGTAGTCTTGAACGCTGGTGTTTAAAATGAAACCACTGAGATTCTGTCGAGAAGACTTACCTGGGCACTGAGAGCTCTCCCCGCTCGGACTTCTCCGGGTTACAGCGAACGGTCACCACTGAGCTCCGGCCCTGATCACACGAGGAGGTCGCCTGCGTGGACCTGGACAAATGTGCCAGATCAGACCCCAGATATAACAAAAGGGGCGGAGCGTTTCCTTTCTCTTCCGCTCTCTACCTGTAGAAGAAGTTGATGTCGGGAACGTTCTTGGACTTTGGCGGGAAGAGCTCGGGTTTGGCGTTCACGCCGCTGAGAACGGGGTCCACCGTCGCCCCTGAAGAACAAACAGGTCAGAGCGCCTCGGGCCAGCTGGTGACCACAGAGCCGTGCCGATGCGGCGTACCGATGAAGGTGTCGGCGAGGCTGGTGGACTGGGAGGAAATGGCCATCCTGAAGCCGCGCCCGTCTGTGGGGATGATGGTCGACTGGCAGATGAAACTGTCCACCGTGTTGACGAACTGAGCCAGTTCGCCGCGGTCGTCTTTGCTCGACACGTCGGTCACGTTGTCCGTGCAGACGGCGGCTCTTTTCCCCTGATACGACACAAACACAGGTTTCGAATTTCAATCCGGGTTGCTATAGCAACGCTTCATGTTTCCCACAGGAAGTCTGAAAGGAAGGTTAAAAAAAACTGCATATCTTTTCAATAATGGATCTATAAAAACAAGAGATTAAAAAACTGGCAGGCTAGGCACAACAAAGGACAAATTATGCACCTAACACGTAAATTAGGTTTTTCCCTCGGGATTAAAGGTGACCGTTTGAAGCTGGAAGTAACACACAGAGGTAGGCTACCTGGTGGCCACACAGGCTGATGTTAAACAGGTGAAGGTACTTTGTGCCTTTGGAGGTGAAGCTCGGCCCGATAGTCACCGAAGCCACGTCGCTCATAGGGCTGAGGTCAAAGGTCAGCGTGCGGTTGTCGTCAGAGTGGGTGAAGAAGCAGTCGCTGTAGCAGCGGGAATGCTCCTTAAATCATCAGAAATCATCCGGTCAGACTACCGTGTGATATAGCATTCACAGCAGCTGATGGTATCAGGTTGTAAGCGTTCACATTTGAGCAACACAGGGTTTGAGTCATGGAAAAAAACGACTCCGTCTCCTTTTACCTTGTTGCTGATGCTTCCGGGCCCGCAGCCGATGCAGGCGTCCTGGCCGTAGGTGTGCCGCCCGGCCAGGTGTGTGTTCGGCGGGCACTCCTGGCACCGGTTGGTGTCCCTGTCGATGTAAAAGCCAGCGGGGCAGGGCACGCAGGAGGAGCTGGCCCGCTGGGAGTAGTGGGGCACCAGGGCACAGGCCCGGCACGCCGACGCCACTCCGTCCAGGACGTTCGTCACGCTGATGGAGTAGATCTTCACCGTGTCGCTGATGTAACGCCGAACCTACACATAAAAAAAAAAAAATCATATTATGAATTTACATAAATAAAACAGTGCTAACTTTTTTTGTGTGTACCGACTCACATCGAGAGCGTGGTTAGTCCTTTGAAAGGCCCACGTGAATAAGACGGAAGCATTTCTGGTCATGCTGTGCGAGAAGGACTGTTTCCCCTTGTTGCCTTCCCAGGACTCCACCACCGTGGTGCTCTTCTTGTTCACATCCTGTAGGGGGAGTTCCAAGACAAGACGCGGCTCGGATCAGCAGGCGGTCAAACGCAGGGCCGCGTAGAAAAAAAAAGAAGAAAAAAGCCCCTCGAATTGTGCTGATTCTAGTTCTCAAATTCTGTTTCCCTCCCCAGTTGGTACCCTGGCTCAAGCACACACCATCATGAAGTAGAGCTCGCAGTCGGCAGAGCAGATGGTCTCGAACACAAAGGTTATGCGGCCAAACTCGCCACCGGTCATCCCTGAAAGCGAGGCTGGGACCCTGCCATGAAACACAGGTTGTGAGCCCTGAGGGGAACTACAACTTTATTTATTTTATTTTTTTACCTTATGACTAGATTTAATTGATCTTCTATCAGTCATTACCAAAGGTGCACTTACTTGAAGCCAGACACATACAAGCTGAGGATGAGATAGTCATTGTCTGAAGAGCCGGCTCCGCTGCGAATGTGGTCCCCTGCAACCTCCCATCCTGGTGGACAATGGACACTTTTTCATTTCATGTGAGTTGGATGAAGATAGATGGTGATATGAAGTGGGCAAAAAAACTGTTTACTATTATCTAGTTATTACCTATTTTTCAGTTAGTTCATTTGTATTATTTCTCATTCTAAACTCATGGAGTGATTATTAGTGAATAAGTTTGCACTAGTAGCTGGACAGAAAAAAAAAATTAACTTGGAGTATTTTGAAAGTTGTTTTCTTTTAGTGTGTAGAAAGTTAAGTTGTTTTGAAAGTGAAGTAATGCACATCGCGTGCAGATGAATTTTGCTTACCGTTCATGGCATCGCATTTGGAATTACCCACGTTGAAGCAGGAAGACTTCATGTTGGGGGGAAGCACGTTCCACCATTTGTACTCGTAGCCCAACACGGGCTCCGTACCCGCGGGGCACTCGGCACACGCTGGGTCACAGAAAAGATATATTTGAACAACATGGTAACATTAATTCATGTGGAATAATTGTAATGTCTGCAGAAGAACCATCTGTGCTGAGGAGGATCATCCAGCTGGGCGGCCTCTTGAACAAATGTCATTAATAGGGATGGATAGAACTTAACATTACGCAACCGGATTGAGTGAACTTTGGAATTATGACCAAAAGAAGAAAAAAAAGTAAATAGTGATGGCTCTGACTAGAGACTAGTAGAAAATATGAAAGGAACTTTTATACTGGTGCTCAAACTGCAAAAATTGTTTGCATTATTGACAAAAAAAAAAATCTTTATAAAATCTTTAAAAATCTTTGATACGATTTTTATGAAATGCTACCAAGAGCTGTTACATTTCATAAAATGGAATGCTAAAGATGACAATAAATGTAAGGTAACATATAGCATCAATATCTTTTTATTTACTAGTGTTGGTTATATGCTATGATTCTAAAACGACATGCTAGACGACTGTACGGAGCTGCATCGATGTGAGGCAAGTTGAACAAAGGCGCTGTTTATTTTGAACTGTTTGAATAGCTGTGACTACATCAATAAAATCCCTAGCGGGGACAACAATAGGTGGCAGGTGTGGGTGGAACCAGATGTACCGTAGGTGCCGTCAGAGTGGGTCCCCATGGGGCACGGCAGACAGGTGGAGTCGTTGCTGTTGTAGTAGCCTGGGTTGCATGGAGGGCAGGGCTCTCTTTGTCCTGTCGCAGGCAGCTCTACGGCTCCCGTCACGTTCTCCACGCAAATCTTTGGCTCCACCCAGCGATACAGCACCTGTGTCTGTGATATGGCCACCAAGAGAAATATTAGCAAGGGGATAAGGGAGCTTTTAGGATGATTAAAGGCTCTTTATGTGTTATAAAAAAATCTGACTCGAGCAGGTCAAGGACATGGATGACATCCAGGGAAACTGAATACAAATCAGATAGTGTTCGGTAAGCAATTTCTCTTTTTAAAAAAACTCTAGCTTCTCCTTTGCCTCACCTTTAGCACTTCTGTAGAGCCAATTTCTGAGTTTGTTTCTGCTTTGTTTGAGCAATGAAGTGTGCACAGTATTGGAACTGGACCAAATTCTGAATGTAATATACTTGAAAATATTGCATTAAGTATGAAAAAAAAACATCCAAATATATTTCATATCCATAAGGACATTGAATCTATTTAGATATATTTGTTTCCAATAATCTCAAAACATCCAAGCAAAACCAAATCAAATGCCAACTGCTCTTTGCTATCTGTTAAATGTCATCTCTGAGCATCTCTGAATGCGTTTGTCCCTGCGCAGCAGTAAATGTCAGACGTGCATGACTGTGAAATGGAGAACATGGCTTCTGCTGACCTTCCCCTCGCTGTCGCAGGCTGTGTGGATCTGGAAGTAATCTCTCTCAGAACACGGAGGCCTCGCCTTACATTCTGCCCATCCCTCATCTTACAGAGGAGTCAAACACAGAGACGCAATGAGCCACAGGTAGAGCCACGCAGAGGAAAAACACACTGGAGGATCACGCTCATAACTTTGATCCTCCGTAACATCCTCTCAACCTTTTCCATCCTGCTGGCTTTTGTGTGAGAGCAGGCAAAAAGATAAAGGACAGCAGCTACCAATTTAGCATTTTGAATTGGACGAAAAAGCCAATGAGAGGTCTTGGGACAAAGCTGATTACTTTAATCAGCAACAGCTTTGTTTCACATGATCTCACTCGGCCAGATTGGAGTTTTTTTTGTGCCGGTTGCCATCAAACAGCACACGTACGTGAGTAGTGGTGTTCGGGGCAAGGCGTGCAGGAGGAGGCCCCTTTTACGGAGTAAGTGTTGCTGGGGCACGGCTGGCAGGACGAGGAGCCGGGCGCCGGGCTGAACCACCCGGGGCGGCACGGGAAACACTCCGATGTGTAGGCAACACCTGGACACATGTGGAGAGTAGCATTAATAAACAGCGCGAGTGAGATTTTTTAAAATATCAAATTGAATCCATGGGTTAGTCAGCGTGTGTGTGGGTCTTTGGATTTTACCCTCTATTTGGATGTTCTTGAGCAGCACGGGTTTGACCATCTTTCCCCCCACCAGTATCCCTGTTGTTCTCCAGTACAGGATGTTCGTACCAGATTTCAGGCCCACCTGGAACAAAGACATACTCTGGTTGACCCACGTGATTCCCTAGGCTTGTCCCCTTATCGCGACAAACAGGGGGGGAGTGCTCCGCTCACCGTGTGCGTGTCCCATTCTCTGTTGTTGGTGACTTTGATCCACTTCTGATCGTCCGTTTGGGCCATTTCCTGACACTGTTCATTCTGGACCTGAGTAAAGGAACGGAGTTCATGAGCCACAAAGCAGCTATTTTCCTGCCGGACCAAAGGCTGCTGTAACATTACCAAGAGCCCAATAACTCACAAGAAGGACGAACGTGCGTCAGTTACTGTCACAATCTGCGGTTGTGTTGGATGTCACTAATGCTTACATAGAACTCAAAGAAGATGTTGTTGTCCGGGTACTGGTAGGTGAAGGAGACGGATCCCTGCTTCTCCAGATGGACCGCATAGACAAGAGAGACTGTGCACTCGTCGCGGTTTGACTCCAGGTACACACCTTGGGGCGTCCATGATGAGCTGGAGCATAATAGATTTAGCTATATCTACACTCAATATACTGCTCTGCTGGTTATTAGTGTTTTTGTATGACTATGTGTGTTACCTGTTGCAGGCCTGGATGTCCTCTCCATTCGGCCCGGGGTCCAAGAAGCTGGCCAGGCTGGTGAAGCCTGCAGGGATGGCGTCCCATTGGTCAAAGCGCAGGCCGCTGCCCAGAGAGTACGAGCCGGCTGCGCAAGGTGTGCACTGCTGAGAGGACATCTCCAGAAACATGCCGGCCGGACAGGAGAAGGCTGAGGGGGAAAGAAGAGGCGGAGTCAACGGGGTAAGACACTGCCGGCATGGAGACTGACCCAATCCGTCCGCACTCACAGCAGTCCGTCCCTCTGGTTGGGGGCGGAAGGTCTGAGCAGGAGCCCGGACTGAGCGGGATGGCAACCCTCCATCGTGACCCCGTGCTGTCACACTCCGTGTACTGGTAGTAGTAGTCCGTCTGCAGAGCAAATACATGTAAGAAGACACATAGAGGGGGGGAAAGAAGGTCAGCGACAAAAGCTGATTACACAAAAAGGGAACAGGGGTGGAGGTTTCAAGGGCTGGAGTGGCCGTTGACCCCGGTCACCACAGCAACCAACCACTGGAGCACTAATGGGTCCATTAGGAGGCTGACGGCGGGTCATCTGCACGGTGGCTTCTCTTTTATGAACGGCTTGTATTCGCATTACGCTCAGCGCTCCAACTAATTGAACATTCATGTCGAGGACAGTGGTCCCCGCTGTGACTCATGATGAGGGCTATTCACCTTCACATGAACTACAGCCTTTGTTTTTAATTCTAATGTCAAACTAAAACAAAATCTAAGTTTTTTCCTTTATACCAATTTTTTAAAAGCTCTTTAAAGCTGTATAATCATTCAGGTTTTGGAGTTTTTAACATGAATATGATGAACAACGAAGAAAGGATTCTCTTATTGTCATTTGTTATGGGCTGCTGCAGTACGGCAAAGCCCATATGAGGGATGTATTTTAAATGTAACTTTGAGTCCAAAGCCTGGCTCTGGCACGTCTCCATCTCCTCCCCCAAACCCGCTGTTGGCTGGCAGATAAATCCACGCAGTCCGCCGGCTGCAGAGGAGCACCGACAGACGTCTAAGTAGCAGCTGATCAAACTGAAACAAAGATACGGGAAAAAAAACTAATTGAGGCCTGTCTGCGATGGGACTTAACGGCCAAGGAGATAGCGCTCAGTCACAGGTTGGGTGTAAATGCGTGGGCGTGCGTGCGTGCGTGCGGTGCAGATAAGCCGGAGCTCTTTAAATTACTAATAACCTCACTGCAGCAACAAATGTGGTCATTCATGCCGCAAACCCCTCCCGTTCCCCGGCGCGCAAACAAACGCACGGATTGTGGACCGGCCACGTGAGCCGCACAGCATCAGAAAAAGGCGCTCTGATTCCTGACCCTCCTCTGTGTGCGCACCGGGCCTAAAAGACACAGGGCCGCGCTAATGTGTTGACCGTGAAGGGAAAAGGTGAGACTGATAGAAAAGGACAGGCTAATGTATTCACCGGTCTCCAGGGTGACTCAGGCGGGTTGTCATGGAGACTGGGGAGGAGGGGGGAAGCGAGTGGGGACAGGGGGGGATAAAATTCAGCGCCAGTCAGAAGGTTTTGAGGATTTGACAGGAAACAAGAGAAGAGATGATTCATTTGGAGGTTTTGTTTTGGTTAAAACCATCCTTCAATATGCAGAACAGCGCACAGTTTACATAGAGATGCCTAAGTAAGCATTCAGGGCATCACCATACAAACACCAGCAGATGTGCAGATTACATAACAGATTTCTACTGAATGTAACACGCCCAGCTGCATACTGAACACACTATTTTTGTAGCATCTTTACAATCTGCATGAATATCTAAATTACTCAAGGGTGATTTTTTTCTCTTAACCGAGAGTCTCTTCCATAATCTTAAATTAGCTTAAGAAATAGCTTGTCATTTACGGAAACCAGTTTCTTTGTCATATAAGATTAATGCCTCTATGTAAAAAAAGATGATTGTTCCGTCAGCAACAACTCAGAATTCTCCTTCCGCTGGCAAATGAGCTCCATCACACACTTTGGTGTGTTAACTTTACTGTGCACAGTATTGTTCTTCACAGTATGTTCAGCCTGGAAATGTAAAGGCTTTACATCTAGTAACTTTTTACACTAATACATCAGCTTCCAAAAGAAAGCTGAGAATGCAGTGATTTGCTTCATGTCAAATGAGAAGAGGCACCATCCAGATTTTCATCAAAGCTCAGTTGAAAATGCTGTTTCTTTTAGTATGGGGATGCATCAGTGCCAGTGGAACTAATGCATCCAGAGAGGCACTATTGATATTAAAAGTTATCAATAGTGCATCCAAATGCTGTCTTTCTGAGGGAAGGACCTAATTCAACGAGACAATGCCAAAATAATGACTAAACATTACAGGAGTAATTAGATGCATGGAAGCGCTGTGACAGAAAATGTTACTTACACAAAGGATTTAGTTAAAAATGCCTTAAACCTTTTGAAAAGAACACTAGACAGCACGGCTAATGTGTTTGTACCATAAAGCTGTGCATGGTCCACCAGATCTCACTGACAAAAAAAAAACGTGGCCCGTTTAAGATCAATACAGAACAGTGTACACTAATATGTGCAGAAAACGCTTTTCGCCCGCCTGAAGTCAAATAAAGTCGTACATAATTTGAGTAACGTATGTCCAAAAGATTAGAATTTTGATTAATTATGTTTGTATTTAGAAAAAGAAAGGAAATAACAGCTTTAGGAATCCCACCAGCACACCTGCTAGATTCAGCTCACACCAGCACACACATAATAAATAGAAATATACTGGACTGACAATTGTACTCATATCTTCACTCATCTGGACCAGATGGCTGGTAAATTTTAGTTGTAGTTGCCAGGCAACCGGTGCTAGCCAGCTGTTAGATGTGTTTTTTACTTCTTATGCTAGGTTAAGCTAACAATATAAAGACTTCAGTTTAATTCCCAACGGACACTGTGTGATTAATTGTTTCGCCTTTAATAAGAAAATAAATAATATCCATCTGCACCGCTCTGCAAACGGCTCGTTAACGTAACCGTGTCAATATATGTATTTGTTTATTTATTTTTGCTCTGAGACAGAGCTGAAAATGTAGCTTAAATCCTTTCCGCCGCCTTTAATGACCGGGGAAATTCGAGCTTCTGGTTTGAGGTCCGTCCTGTGTCAGCATTTGGTCGGTTCACCGACATAAAACCCCACAGCAGCACCCGGTGGGGTGTCCTCGGAGGCAGAGGAGGGATGGAGGCCAACGGACGCCCTCTCCCCCTGTACGCAGCCTGTTTATGGTCCACACCAACCCAACAGTTTAAGCCGATAAGCGGCGCCGGGGGGATAGCGCGGAGCCACTAGGACACTAGAAAATGACTCCTTGTCGCATTTCCCTAGCCTTTATTTGAACCCGGGTAACATTTTGGGGCTCGTTCCTGCATATGTTTCCGTTTATTTATGGACTTGTTGCCCAGGCGCAATAAGCGGCGAACAATGAAAAATGTAGCTCAAGAGCCCATTTTTGGTTTTCTTTAAAACGACGTCTCTCTTGCACCCGTTTGTGTGTGTTTTTGTTGTTGTTTGTTTGTTTTTGTTTTCAACGGACGCGTCGTAGACGTAAGCTGATGTGGTTACTCACCGTGTCGCACGGCCGCGGGTCTCTGGCGGCCGACGCCGGTGACGTGTGAGCGGTGATGGAGGCGAGCAGAAGGCAGCGGGGGAGCCAGGAGCTCCGCACCTGCTCCCACATCCTCAGCCCGGATCACAGACGACCGACCGTCCGCTGCCTGGAGCCACTAACAGAAACCCGGGCCCTGTGGCGAAGGTTTGACTGCTGTCCCTGTCATTGATGCGCCTGCCTCCCCCCTCCTCCCCCTCTTCCTCCCCCTCCTTCTCCTCATACTCCTCCACCTCCTCCTCCACCCACATCACGACCAGTGAACAAAGTCATCGAACTACGCTTCCGGTCAAAGCTTTCAATGTAAAATGCAGTCGTTCATCACATCAATTTCGAAATCCTAAAGTTGTTTGTTATAAAAGGAAAACTACATAGGTTGCTAAAAAATAAAAGATGCAATCCAAATTGAGAGTGCAATTATTATAGTCATCAAAGGTTCTTTAAAACTGCCTCAAATCAAATGCATCAGCCACAGTTAGCAGCAAGAGTCAGAATCAGAATCTCCCGTTTTATGTACGAAACTCGTTATTGATTTATCTCTATTGTATCATACACTTTGTTAATTTTTCATCATGGCAGAGCACTGCAGGCTTGTTTAGAGTTGATAATCTGAATACAGTATTAAAAAAAACACTGCCGGGATTTATTTTGGAAAACAATACTTCCTGCCGAAGTCTGGTTATTTTTTTGTACTTTATATCTCACTTTGGTAAACCATAAACCCCTCAGACAGACGCCACCATTGTGATAACAAATGTTATCTTGATTGGCAGCTGGAGATGAAGAGCAGAACTGCTGAGCTTATTTTAACCACGAGGTGCCCAAAATGACCCGCTCAGTGAGGGCTCACATGAGGACCATAAGTTACTGAATTAGAATGTCTATCTTAATGAGTTAAGAAGCAGCATCATGCTGTTAATAGTGTTTCATTCCATCATAAAGAGATGAATGATTGTGTTGATTACAAGGGAAAGAAACACATTTCCAAGAAAAGTGCCACCAAATGTCATAGTTCACACGCAAAGCACAGTATGAAATGAACCAGCACAAGGACACGAGGAAAAACATCTTCGTGCTTAATTTATCTATTAAGAAAGACTATAAAGCCTCTGACAAGAATACACTCAAAGCAGTTTCAACAGAAAAAAAACTGAGAATTAAAGCACACAACGAGGCTTATTTCTAAAACTGTTCAGTTTCTTTAAATCACCTTCTCTCTCAGACTTCAGTTTTTAAAATCTTGGTGCCCACACTGAATGAACTCATATTCTTTTAGAAGTACAATTTTGTAATAACTACAGCTATGATTAAACACGAACTGAAATTCTGCAGTTTAACTCATTAATGTTGCACATTATTTGACAGTCGTTCCTGAAAACAATTTGTCATTTTTGGGTGGTAATCATCATACAGTTAAATGTATTTTTTTAACAACCTTGCTAAATGAGGTTAGATGTTATTCGCGTAATCGCCCATAGGTGGTAGCAGCGCGCAGATGTTCTACACATTTACACTCACGAAGAAGAAACCTGGAGACAACGTAAAGCGCCGAATCAAAACAGTCTCAGTTTGACAACTCGGCTTATCGTTCCACCAATGGCTGAGGAAAAGCCTCTGTACATGTCGTTGCAATTGTTAGAAATAAACTAAAATACGCAGGCAACATCTTCATAAAGTGAAGCAGCTTGTTATTAGACTTCCAAGGAATGTCAAACTGAAGAAAAGGGCAAACTTTGCGAGCTTGCGTAGCAGCTTGTGTAGCTCCCCCTATTAAATGGTTAGCTTCCCCGGCTACAGAAAGCAGCTCCGTTGCTCGCTATGGGCTGAACGTGACCATATATAGATCGGCCGCAGAGCTCTCCGGCCGAAATGTGAGCGGTGAGTTTTTGTCAGGAGGCTGACTAACGGCGAACGCATCAAACTGGACGAAAACACCCGCCGTCCTCGCGATGTCGTCCGACCAGATCATCGCCATTGTCATGGACGACAAGACCTACGAGGTGGACAAAAAGAAGCTGATAGAGAAGAGCGACTACTTCCGTGCGCTGTACAGCTCGGGGATGAGGGAGTCCACTGAGGACTCCGTGCAGCTGCAGGGGCTCAGCGTCCTGGGCCTGGAGCTCGTCCTGGAGTTCATCAACACCTCCAAAGTCCAGGTGGTGAACGAGACTCTGGAGGACCTGATCGAAACCGCCTCCTTCCTGCAGGTCACCTCCATCCTCAAGCTCCTGACGTCAGAGATCCGCCTGGAGAACTGCGTGGAGCTGTTCAGCCTCTCTGAGGTGTACGGGACTCACGACCTAAGGAACGCTTGCCTCAAGTACATGAGCTGCTACTATCACCCCATGCTGAGGCGGCCCGAGTTCTGCAGCCTGCCCTCCGCCCTCCGGGACCAAGTCAAGGAGATGCGCATGAAAGGCACCGCCACCCTGGTGGCCATCGGGGACTTCACCTGCCTGTCCCTGGATGTCCCCGATCAGGACGAGCCCTGGTCCATGCTGAGGTACGGAGAGGTGGAGCAACGCTGGAAGCCCCTGTCCAACAACCTGCCGCCGGATATGATCAACGTCAGAGGATACGGGTCCGCCGTCCTGGACAACTACCTGTTCATAGTGGGCGGATACAGGATGACCAGTCAGGAGATCTCGGCCGTGCACTGCTACAACCCCTGCAGGAACGAGTGGAACCAGGTGGCTCCGCTCAATCAGAAGAGGTAACAAGAAAACTGCTCTTACAGGTCAGCAAATAAAAAAGCTTTATTCTCATGTTTCACTCTGTTTCACTCAGATCCAACTTCAAGCTGCTGGCTGTACAAGGGAGGCTGTATGCCGTTGGAGGCCAGTGTCTGGGCACGGTGGAGTGTTACAGCCCGGAACAAGACTGGTGGACCTGTGTGTCTTCGATGCCTGACCCGCTGGCCGAGTTCTCTGCCTGCGAATGCCAGGGAATGATTTACGTCATGGGAGGATACACTGCGAGAGGTGGGTGGTAGAAATCTTGGAATCTAATCATTTACGTGACCCCAGTGCCTTTCACTTGAACGGAGAATTTAAACCCTCAGCGCTATCCACCCAATGATAGCAGTTAAAATGCACCCACCAGTACAGCACCTCCTCACATGCTACTGAAACAGCAGGGAAAACAAACAAAACTCTATGTCATTCTGTCATATTCTCTCTGATACAGCATTCTAGTTGTCATCTGTTGTGTTTCCGCATGATCTGAGTGTTTTTAGCGGATAGACGGCCTGCACTGCTATGCCATACTGCTCCTTGGGTACTAATACAACTCCATAAGGTCAAAGAACCAGGCGTCACTATGAGTACTGATAGATTTTCTTTTGATGATGAAATTGGCTTCATGTAATTGACTGTAGTAAATCAGTGAAGGGTACGATTGACATTTGACGAGTTTAATCGTTAAAAAGGTTTCTAAAAGATTTCAAGTAGACTGGGATTTGTTGTGATTGGCCGTATCTGTAGCTGTATCCATGAGGAATTGATCCACAACTCAGAGGACCCAGGGATTATATTGCTTACGCCTGAGTGCCAGACACACCTGGACACTTCAGTGGGTAACCGTATTTCCCTTTTTTTTTTTTTTTTTTCTCCCCTGTGTCTTGCAGAAAGGAACACCAACGTGCTCCGCTACTGCCCCACCTCGGACGCGTGGGCGGTGTTCCGGTCCTGCCCGGCCCACATCCGCAAGCAGCAGATGCTCTCGGTGGAGGACACCATCTACCTGGTGGGCGGTTACACCCACGAGCTGGAAGCGGGCGGGCGCCACCGCCGGCGCCCCAGTCAGACGGAGGACGTGCTGACGGTGCAGTCCTACAACGTCAGCACCGGGGAGTGGCTCCAGCTGAAGGAGAACACGTCCAAGTCGGGCCTGAACCTGACCTGCACGCTGCACAACGACGGCATCTACATCATGAGCCGGGACGTGAGCCTGCCCACCAGCCTGGAGCACCGCGTCTTCCTCAAATACAACGTGTTCTCCGACGCCTGGGAGGCCTTCAGACGCTTCCCGGCCCTGGGGCAGAACATGCTGCTTTGTTCTATTTACCTCCCCAGCGTGCTATGATGGGGAGGCAGCGGAGCAGCGGGGAGCAAGCGGGAACAATGCGCGGCCCGCCGGGTGGAAGGCCTCGTGGCCTCGAAACAAACCCACTTTGTTGCACAAACTGCTGTGGATGCAAATGCAGGAGCTCTGATGACAGGTGTGAAAGGATGGAGTTTCATTGTGCCTCCCGTGTGTTAACCTCAAAGCCAACAGCCGAAGATATTTCCAGAGTTTTCAAACCTAGCTAGGTGAGAAATTATTATTTTTTCTCTAATGGCTGCCGTTTTTGTTGTAGTGTTAATACTATGGAAGCACACACAGGAGCCGCTTAATGTGTGTAGAAAGGGTGATGACATTCCCGATGTTTACACTCCAAACAAGGCGAAGGGCATACACGTTTAACCATCATTCACTACAAACCTTAAAGGAAAGCACCTCAAGTCCTCGTCCTGGTGGTCTGCAGGGTAGCAGAAGTTTGTGTCAATGGCTTTGGTTTTACACTGCCAGTTTTATGGAAAGTAGAAGCTCCTTAAAAGAGTTGCGTGTTGTGTGCACACCGGCACAGCCTCTTAATTTTCCGACGCACACTAAGCGAAGCTTGAAGCACAGTTCCAGTAACTGAACAATACACATGTGCCTTCTGCAGTCACAGCTAATAGAAACTTAACATTAAAAAAATAAGATAAAAATGCACAAAATGCTAGACTTTTCTTACATTTTCAGCAACTGACCAAAACTGCTGTTTTAATTTTTGTTCTGCTGAAGATTTGTTTTTGTTTTTCTTCATTTTCAATTTCTTTTATTATTACTGATGTACTGTTTGGTTTATTTCTTAAATAATGAGGGTTTGCAGTCTTTCAGGAGTGAGTCACAAAGTTAAATTGAGCCCTAAGTCTTTTAGTGTCAGGGTAACACAGTACTTAAAGAATTTGGTTTTACGCTTCTCTCTGCTTGCTGGTTAATTGGGCAGTTTGGAAATTTAGATTGTGACAATAAAAGTGACTTTCAGGGGTTGACTGTTGTCTTTTTTTGGGTTGGTCTCTCTTTGCAATTTCCTTTTAAAAAGTCTATTAGTCTATTGTTTTCTTATTTTTTGCCCTTCTAAAAACTAATACATTCAATTCAAAGCTTAATTTCACAATTGAACACGTGAGCTATATGATTTCTGATGGCCCTGGTTTTATTTTCCAAAGATTTCACTGCTTCTAATTCAAATGATTCATTCAGGTATTTTCTTCTGCTAAAGATTTCCATTTTAAAACTTAATATGGCAAGAATCAACACACAAATCTACGCACACTTAAAAGTTACAGAATTTGTCAAATAAAAAAATTCTAAAAATTAGACTGTGTTTGCCCGCAACTTCAGCCATTTTTGTGGGCTTTACAACAGCAGAAGGCAAGAAAAATGTAGTGGCATGCCATTGTCAACTCAAATCCAGAAGCAGAAAGTGAGAGTTCAGTTCAAGCAGCAATTGATCATTTAGAATCCTGCAGGGAGCCTCAATGGGGTCCCACAACAGCCACAGATTTTGGTCACAGGACACCTTGAGGTTCCATGGGGCCACCGAACTGAAGTAAAGACAGGAAAATAAAAGCAAAATAACTATTTTTCATATTTGGGGCATTTCCTCAATCAGCTGTTGGTAAACGAGCTCATCACAGCTAGGGAAGATATGACAAAAAATAAAGCCTACACAAAAAAAAAAACCTTTTAATTTCTTTAAACGTGCTAAAAATGTTGCCAATGATGCATAATAAATAATTGATGAAATAATAAAAAACAGAAGATTCTTACAACATCTGGTAAAAAAAAATATGTTAAATGCGACTGTTTGTATGAGTCCCTCAGAACTATCAGTTTGATAAAAAAAAACAACAGAAAATTCCAACAGAAGGCAGCCAGCAGGGGGCAGCACATGCTTTCAGAACCCCTGCCATCTCTGCAAGCCCTCAACATTTTCCATTTAACCCCCACGAGGACTTCCCCCCTTATGTGACTATTACGTGTGCCATGAAGCTCCCGCTACTTCGACGCAAACGTGCATCTTCTGCTGGACTCTGCTCATTCGAAACTAACCCAATCAAAGGTGGGTATTTCAAAGCCACCCAATAAAAAGCGTCCACCTTTAGGCTGCATCATCCCTTCCATTTAAAAGGTGTCACCTTCTGGAGGTCATGATCAAAGATGGATGTGATATTTAAAGCTTTTGAATGGATGAGTGGAAGCTATTTGATTCTTGCTCCCACAATGGCAGCCAAAAAAAAGGGGGTTGGGGGTGGGGGGGGGTGATGAGGGTGGAAGCAGGGGACATCAATAACTGCCATCAGAGGTCCAGATTGATCCCCTGTGTGAGGTCAGATCACAGTGATTTCCTCCCACACCTCCCACAGCGGGGGGTGGGGGATGGGGGGTGGGGGGGGATTGCTGGGTGTGCAAACGGTGGCCACGTTCAAACCGTCAACTCTTTGAGCAGCGACGTGAGAGCAGCGGAGAGACGGAGAGAGAGAAAGCCAAGGACAGACGGCACCGAGGGGAGGGGATAAAAAAAAACAAAAAAAAACAGGCTCACGCGGAACTCAGTCACACCTTCCCCACAGCCTCTGTCAGAGAGCGAGCCGATCTCAGTGGAGGAAGGATGCCCGCCTGCGTCGGAGGAGCAGCCAGGGCAGGGAAATAGCTTCAGAATCCCACAGAGAAAGAGACAGTCTCAGGACAGAGCAGAGGAAGCCCCTGAGGGGAGGGCAGCGGTGTTAAACCAGCAACATCTGAGGGGGGTTGGCTCCACCGGTGAGGGACCTTCTAGACTAGAGGATCTTTTGCAGCAGCTCCAAAGAACAGCTGCCTTTTTCCGGGGGGTTTGGTGGGAGGGTGGGTGGGTTTCTCCTCCACTCTGCACACACACACAGACAGACATCCACTCGTCCACGCTCGTCTCTTTTAGAAGCGATCCCCAACCTAGTTCGTAGACCATGAGCGAGGCAAAGAAAGGCGAACTGGCCATCCGGGATAAAGCCATCCTGAGCCAGCAGAGACGCCTGAAACAGGCCACCCAGTTCACGCACAAGGACTCGGCTGACCTCCTGCCCCTGGACGGGCTCAAGAGACTCGGCACGTCCAAAGACTTGGTGAGTGGACTTTGGGGGAATCCAAAAGAGTGCTTGGGAGTTGATGTTTTTTTTTTATCCGATGCAAAGGGCTATCGTGTGCGAGATACCAGAGATTCAGCAGAGATCGAGAAGAATTTAGATTACAGGCTGCTCGATTTACAGAATCATTGTTGAGGGGGACATTTTGAGTCATATCCAGAGATGCCTTGTTAATTATTTCATGCATGTCTGAGATTTACAATGCAATTCCTTCTCTTCAAGATTATGCCTTTTGATATGTTGTGGCTAGTGATTCAACTCACTGGGAATAACTCGTTTTCTCTCATTTACAATTTCCCTTTTGAACAATGCCGAATCTGGGGTATGTTTTAATGTTAGACCAAGGAAATAAGGGTGCCCATTCTGATGTCAGAGAAAATCTCTATCCATTCTTCCAAAAAAGACACTTATCATCCACATTTGCATGAGGATGATAGGTGTAAAGAGAAAAATACTGATAAGCCTGATTCTCAAAAGCTGTAAAAGAGCTTAGACGTGATGGTTCTAAAGGTGTCTTTGAACGATAAAACTCAGCGCAATCTGGACCGGTTTAACACCAGTTGGGAAGTTGTTGAAAGTCAGCCCAATTTAGTCTGAGGCTGTGGTTTTCTAGTAGAAAAGTGAGGGCTATCCTGTTCTGGTTGAAGATGAGTCCTGCCCACTAGTAGAGGAGTTTGAGTATTTTGGGAACTAGATCGTGAGTGAGTACACCGTGGTCTAAAGACGGCTAATCCAGAGGAAACTTTGTATGACAGGTTTGGCCATTCCTGTAAGGTGCCTATTGGTTGATTTTTTGGGCAAATTTGGACTTCTAGGCTGAGAAATTCCAGTGATACCAAAAGCTGAGTTGATAAGTGTTGTTGGGCTGGCAGTCATACACACACCTTTCCATGGCTTCCAGACCTGTTTCCAATTCAACGTGACCTCAGATGATTTGAAAATAACTGATGCAAGGGTAGATGAAGCGAATTGCCATTGCTAACTGCCATAGTTTTGAAATGGAAATTCTTTTATACTTTTGCCAGGTACTCAAGACCAGTTAGCAGCCAGAGCCCTTGCACATTGTTGCAATGTGGTTTGAAATGGTCTTGCTGAAATAAGAAAGATTTGCCCTAAAACAGAAATAATCTGGATCAAAGCATGAGTGACTCAATTATTTTTTGATGCTACAGGAAAATCTAAACTCAGTCATGTTACTGACCTATTGGCAATAAAGATTTCCCACTTTGATTTTATATCTATGATCTAAACAAGAATTATCTCCCCTGTCTTTGGTTTTGTGCAATGCATTCTGTCAAAAACAAACTAACAAAAAAAAACATTGTGTGTCTTTATCATATTGGGCATATACTCTTAAGATCCAAAGACCCTTCTTTTTTCATTTTGATTTAAATTTAGGCTTCAAATATACTGCAAGCAATAACATTCTGTAAATTTTTTGGGAAATAAGACTAAACTTTTTGACAAAGGTTGTTGTTTTATGAGAGATAGGGGGGATTTCAGAGTTGACTTGGTTTAGAATAATTGAAATCAAGAGTGGGTATCCCATCTCAGTATAAATACCATTACCAATACCAAATACCATTTTCTCCAAGCACTGACACATGACTGCCTTGCATCAACTGTTCTATAAAGGGCAGCTTTGAAACATTAGAATCATTAAAGATTCAGAGTTTTGCACACATGAGATGATGTCAAAGCCAATTAGATCTCATTGCGCACACACAGCCACTGCTTCCTCACACACACACACACACAAATGCATGTTATACATTTAGTTATGGGAGGGAAACGCGTTCCATTTCGTATTCACAGCGTATAAGAAGCGTCCAACCCCTGTACCTCCTCTACCCCCGGTGGGTTCCTTAAGCAAAGTGGTTATGTACACTCAGGAGGAACCTCCCTTTTACTGATTTGGACAATGTATGACTCCTGTGACAGAGTTTTGGTTTTATGGCTGCTTCCCAGGTTCCCTCTAGCGCTCCAATAACCTGGGTATAATAGCTCTGGCTTTGGGAGGCAGCGCTGGCAGCTTTCTGTGCTCCGTAGCCGTCCCACTGC